CAAAGGATGAAGACATTGATAGAAGAATTTGTAATCCATAAGCCTCATTTATAATACCAGCACATTTTATTAATTCCAAATGGATTTGTCTTTAATAAAAAGATTAAGAAAAAATTGGTAAAGATAAAAAAAAAAGAAAAATAACAATCTATTTCGGAATAATTACTTACTTGATTCTCTTTAATTTTATAAGATTTTCATTCGCTTTATACATTCGATAAATAGTAGATAACAAAGAATCATCTTCCCAGTTATCTTTCATTCGAAGAATTCTTTTATGTTGTGGAGAATCAATAGTTGTCGTCAGCATGCTTCGCAGTACAACATTTAATTGACCAAATAACATTTTTATATACCTATTTAAGATAATTCGTCATGATTTGGCAAATATTGATATTATTTTATAATAAGTAAAACGATTGACTTGCCTGATCCAAAAGATAAAAGTAAAGTCGTTGATCATCGTTACGATGGCAGGGCAAGTTTCGAAATAGTAAAACTGTAATATCAAACTGTTGTTTAACGATAAGTTGAAATAAGAGAACCAAAAAATATTAGTAATAAAGAAGCCTGATGTCGTTAAAATCAAAATTATGCCTGCGATACACTGATACCGAAAAAGAGAAGAATAATTTCTTGGTAGATTAAGTTCATCAATTTCTCGTGTACAAATTTCGAATTGCTCGATAAATAGTTTTAATCTCTGCAAAATGGAATTAATTTATTGTGTTGTACAAAATTTATAGCTCTTAATAAATCAATAACTACTCGTAGGAAAAAATTATCGATTAATCCTAAAATCTTTACCTGTCTTCTCATTAAACCAGCGATAATTGTTATAATATAAAGAAAGGCGTTATTGACATATGAAAATTTTATTGTTATTTTTGAAATTTCTGTCACTTGATCATTCATAAAAAAATTCATTATTTGCTTCAACGTAAAAAATAATGTAGCATAATAAAATATACAACAAAATGCATAAATAAAGCCAATTCTTCGAATTGTTTGATTAATGAAGTATTCTAGTAGACCAGTACAAAGAATCGAATTAGCGATTATCAATGGCATAACGGAACGTTGAAACTCTTTCGATTGGAACATTTTAAGGATTTTGGTTTTCTTATTGAATTCACTTTTGAATCACTTATTGAATCACTTTTCACTTTCAAAACATTTTAATTCATTAATTATATCATTGACGTTGAATTATAATTCGTATTATTGGATAATACTTTTGATATATCTCCAACTTAAATAAGAATAACAAAATAGGTAGCAATTAAATGAAAAAAAATTGTACTCTTCGTAAAATGTCAAACGACTTCTTGCCCCAATTTACAAATGATACTTATGCTTTCTATTCTTGTTATATTCGAATTGTTTTCGTAATAGATGTTACCGTGACTTGCATTTAACTTGGAATAAGAATTATCACTTTCATACTTACCCTACTGTTTCCATCATGTCAAATTTGTCCTTGTCTCTTTGATAGAATGATGTCATACATACTCATGCACAGTATCTCATTATCAAATGAAAATCAATAAGAAATTATTTCTTCAGTAAAACATTATCTTGATATTAATTTTTATCATTATGAAAATAATCAATAAAGAATTCTCCATTGTAATATTATTTTATTTAAAAAATCACTAATAAATTTTTAAGAAATGCTTTTGTACTTTGTACAATTGACGGAACGCAGGTTGTATGAATATACAGTGTATTGTAAGAATATAAAATCACTTTTTTTTTGGATTGCTTATTTGTATCATGGTCATTTTGTAAGTCGTAATAATACTGAATAATAAAGATATTAATTATGTTTTTCATTTTTCTATACTTTTTTATGCAAATAACTCTATTGACCGAACAAAAATGTGAACTTTCCTTTTTTTTTTTGTATCTTAAAGTCCGTATTTTGTCCACAAAATGTGTGAATAATTTCTCTGAATAATTATTTTCGTGAATAAATGTCTGAAGAAATATTATTAAAAGTAATATTGTGCAAGATGAAAGTAAAAAGATTAACAATCATTTTATTATATATAGTGACATAACCAACCTTTATAAAATATTAATAATTATTTAGTTTTTTTAATAATGATAGATATGTTTCTATCATAATTATCAGACATTATTAGAAATTTAAGTATAATTTTAAAGCATACTCTTAAAGTAATTATACTAGTTACGAAATTATGTTAGAATGAATTTTATGGGTAATATCCTCTTATCCTATAGAAATTAATAAGAAAGTATTAATCGCGCAAATGTTATATTTTCCTGGTCTTTTATTTATTTCCCATTTTTTCTTTTCTTTTTGTTATCATGTAAAACAAAATATGATATTGTTTAAAAGATAATTCATTAAGTGCGATATATTTGTGGAATAAAGAAAGGATTTCATTTATTATTTACATCCTTGACGTTGAAATATTCTTCATAATAGATATATTAAATACACTAGGTTCACCTCCGATTTGAATCAAAATAACGAGATATGTAGTAATCGAACCTATGATCTAGAACGTATGCACAGAAATATTAAATTCTTATAAAATGAAAAATAAAAGAAATCAATGATCATATTTTCAACTTACACAGTATATAAATGTATGATCTACATCGTAAAAACCGCACGCAGTAAACTTCAAACGATTTTGGATTAGTTGAAATATAAAATTACGAATCTAAAATAATTATAGATTAATAATTATAGATAATTATAGATTTTATATATGTTATATGTATTCTAATATTAAAAATTGATAAAAATTGTTTCTTACCTCATCGCGAAATTTTCTGCTGGTCGAAGGTTCATATAATTCGTAAAGAATGTCTCCAGTGTTCATGGCATATAAGAAAATAAAGAAAATCATTATATACTATTAAGAAAGAAGAAAAGAATAGGAATTATTAAAGAGAATATACTTCTGTCATCGTTGTCTCGCATATGTTGCATATTATAAAAATTCGAGAAGTCAAAAAGAAAATCCAATAGGAATGGGCAAGGAACCCTTGAATCCAATTATTAAGTGTGTTTACAAATAAGTTAGCATATAGATTGTATAACAATATAATTATATCTATGATAGATGAAGACATGGATATAAGTATTTGTGATCCATAAGCCTCGTTAATAATTCCAGCACACTTTATTAATTCCAAATGGATTTGTCTTTAACGAAAAGAATAAGAGAAAATTATTAATAATTAAAAAAGAATAATAAAACGTTTGAGACTAATTGTCAATGACTTACTTGATTCTCTTTAATTTCATCAGGTTTTCATTCGTTTTGTACGTTTGATAAATAGTAGATAACAAAGAATCATCTTCCCAATTATCTTTCATTCGAAGCACTCTTTTATGTTGAGGAGAATCAACAGTTGTTGTCAGAATGCTTTGAAGTACAGTATTCAATTGACCAAATTTGATCTTTATATACCTATTTAAGATCATTCGTTATGTTTAATAAAATTAATTTTGTTTTTATAAAAATAAAATGATTGACTTACCTCATCCAGAAGACAAAAGTAAAGTCAATGATTATCATTACGATAATAGGATAACTTTCGAAGTAATAGAACTGTAATATCAAACTATAATCTATCGATAAGTTTAAATAAGAGAACCAAAAAATATTGGTTAATATTATGCCTGATATGATAAAAATTAAAATTATGCCTGCGATATATTGATACCGAAGATGAGAAGAATAATTTCTCGATATGTTAAGTTCGTCAATTCTTTGTTTAGAAGCTTCCAATTGTTTTATGAACAATTTTATCTGCTGTAAAAACGAACTAATTTATTAAGTTATTCAAAAATTTATATATATAATTTATATGTATATAATATCGTATATAATATATAATTTAATAATCACTTAAAAAAAAACATTCTTCGGTTAATTATAAACATTCTACCTTTCTTCTCGTAATACCAGCACAAATTGTTAGGATGTAGGAGAAGAAGTTATAAAAAAACGAAAGTTTGGTCACTATTCCTAATACCTTTGTCATTTGAAGATCCATAAAAATTTTAATTATATTCAAAACTGAAAAAAATGAGAAAATGTAGTAAACTGAATAACAAATGATATAAATAAATCCAATCACTCGAATTGTTCGATCAACGAAATATTCTAATAAACCAGAGCAAAAGATCGAATTCGCGATAATCAATGGCATAACGGAACGTCGAAACTCTTTCGATTGAAACATTTCACAAGACATTTTGATATTCTTATTGAAAATAACACTTTTCACTTTTAAGAAAAATTTTGAAGTTTGTTCTCTTAGAATTTCTTTTTAAAAAATTCACTGCTTGCTGAAGTTTTCGAACATAACTAATTCTTACTACCAGTCTTCTTATTCTTGTTATACTCGAACTGTCTTCCTAATAAATATTATAATCACATTTAGCGTGGAATAAACACTACTTACTTGTCTACTCATCCTACTATTTTCTGCGACCTTGTCTTTACGATGAAAGTTATCCATACATATTCACATGCATTATCTCGTTATTAAATGAAAATCAATAAGAAATTATTTATTAAACGGAGCGTTATATTGATTTTACATTTTGTCATTATTAAAGTAGATTACGAATAAAAACACTTATTTTTTGGCATTTTATTTCATATAAAAATTCACACAGTAAATTTTCTTATAATATTTTTATCATTTCTTTAACAAAATGAAAAATTATTGTAGTGATTTATGATCCTCTTCTTATTGAATCATTTACTTGAACCATGATAATTATATATGGCATTATAATACCGACACAATGAAGAATAAAGAATTTAATTATGTTTTTTATTAATATCATTACTTTTTTTATAACATAAATTGTACGCACATAATTGCACCAACCGAACATATGAGTGTTGCAATTGAGATTATATAAACCTATTGTCGAATAGGCTGTACAATGTTTTATCATTTTCAAAGAAAATATTTCTAACCGTAAAGAAAAGAATATTATTTTATATAGATCTTAGATTTATTTCAGATTTTTGTTGTAATACTAACAATGTAAAAATAAAATATGTGAATAATTTCACTGGTATTTTCAGCCTAGAAGAATCATATAATTGTTACATAAAATATAACAATACAATAGCTCTTTCGTTGGTTTTTTTACAGATATAATTAACGACAAGGATCTTTATCGAATATTGTAAACAACATAAAATCATTGTATAATAAAATCAGTTTATTACTATTACGTATTTCTGGTTCTTTTTGTATAAATTGTATAAAACGTGTGAAAAAAGTACTGAAGAGGAAATAAGTAATTAAAGACAATAATTAAAGTAATAATTAAATATTATAAATATATAACTTATACACTATTCGTGAAATGAATGATTATTTATATTCCAAAATTAACGAATTAAATAAAAATACATAGGTCATTGAGAGGTAAAAAATTATAGAGAAACAAGTATAAAACATACCGATAACATTAATCTCATCATCAACGAAATATTCCATTACACCAGTGGTAAAAATCGAATTCATTATTATCAAAGGTTTGAAATTCCGTCGATAGAGACATTACTGAAATATTCTTCGTGGATATTACTTTATTTATTTTCTTTTTTTCGTTCGAAGACACTAATTATTTCAAATACATTAATCGAAAAACATAAAATGCCGAAAACACTGATTATATCAAATACACTTTTCGAAATATTTGGTATACGAAGTTCGTAAGAAAGAAGAAAATGAATAATATTCTTTTTTAAATTTTGAAGTAAAACTTATGAAAGCTTACAACTCATTGCTTCTATTATACCTTATAACGGTAATATCGGATATTATTCCAATCCACTTTCGCTTTCGGTTGAGTGGGAAATATTTTTTTACTTGATGCGATCGTTCGATTAAACCCACTTACAAATATTACTTTCTTACCGTATAGAAATTAATAGAAAGTTATTATATATGCTGATGTTATCTTTTTCTGTCCTTCTCTCTTCGTTTTTTTTTTTTTTTCTTTTTTTTTTCTTGGTATAAAGCTTTTATAACAAGGGTAAATCGGCAACGAGACGTAACAGAACATGACGTGAATTGAAAAAAAAAGAGATAAGTATATACAAATAGGAGAGAAAGAAAGAAAATAAGAAACTATGCGCTTTTATTTATATTGAAGATGTGACAATTGATAAGAACCCTAATGATAAGAATCTATATATAATGGGGCATAAAATAATATTCTATTATTTTAGCTAGTGAATAACTTTTATTGCCACTCTGATCGACGTTCTTTTAGCTTTTATCGCAGCAACGTTTATCGTTCAAACATAAACGCATCCTTAAAAAAAATAGGAAAAGAATATATATATAATATGCGAAATTAAAGATGAGAAACTAAATAAAATGGACTAAATTAATTTTCACTTGTATCATGATGTATGATATTTTTATTGGAGCAGAAATTACGAAAAAGCGTGATATAAAACAAGTATAATACTGCATAAAACATTGTCTTATATATTTATCGAATAAAGAAACAATAAAATTCACTCATTACATCATCGATGTGGAATTATAGTTTGTATTGTTGAAGAGTACTTTAGGTTTACCTCCGACTTGAATAAGTATAACGAGATAAGTAGTAATCGAACCTACCATCTAAAACATCCACATATATATATATATATTAAAATCTTATTAAAATAAATATTAAAATAAATCAAAAATATATTTTCAACTAACGCTATATATAAATGTATAACCTAGATCGTAAAATCCGCAGGCGGTAAACGTCAAACGATTTTGGATTAATTGAAATGTAAAATAACGAATCTGAAACAAAAGATTGTACGTTTAATATATAATTCGATATTATACAATGACAGGTATTGTTTCTTACTTCATCGCGAAATAATTGGCTGGCCGAAGGTTCATATAATTCGCAAAGAATGTCTCCAGTAGTTAAGGCATGTAGAAAAATAAAAAAAATTAATATGTACTTCTATCAAACTCTTTCAAAGTTCCAAAAGATCATAAATTTTGTGAATATCAGATATATTATTAAACAAATAAGAAAGAAAGAATTACTTATTAAAAAGAACATACTTTTGTCTTAGTCATCTCGCACATGTTGCATATTGCAAAAATCTGGATGATAATAAAGAAAATCCAATAGAAACGCTTACAGAATTCCCTTATCCAAGAGTGATGTTTGTCTATAATTAAGGCGACATATAGACCGTGCAAGAGTGTACTGGTATATACAACGTGTATTATCGTGAACATAAGAAGTTGTAATCCATAAGCTTCATTTATAATTCTGGCACATTTTATCAATTTCAAATGGATTTGTCTTTAATTAGAAAAATAAAAGAAAATTACTAAAAATCAGAGAAGAACAATAAATCGTTTCGTACTGATTCGTCAGTGACTTACCTGACAATCTTCAATTTCCTAAGATTTTCATTCACTTTGTAAGTTCGATAAATTGTAGATAATGAAGGATTATCTTCCTGGTTATCATTTATTCGCAGGATTCTCTTATGTTGTGGAGAATCGATATTTGTTGTCAGCATACTTTGGAGTACAGTATTCAATTGACCAAATATGATCGTTACATATCTATGCGAAATCATTCGTTATATTTAATAAATATTCATCTCTTTTTGTAATAAATAAAATGATTAACTTACCTTATCCAAAAGATAAAAGTAAGATTTGTAATCATAATTACGATGGCAGGATAATTGTCGAAATAATAAAAATGTAATATTAAACTGTAGTCCAATGATAAGTTGACATCCGAATACCAAAATATATCGTCAATAATTAAACCTGATATAAAGAAAATGACAAATAAGCCTGTGATACACTGATATCGAAAGAAAGAAGAATAATTGTTCGATAAGTTCAGTTCATAAATTCCTCGTATACAAGTCTCAATTTGTCCTAGGAATAATTTTATTTGCTGTAAAAATGAATTAATTTATCGAATTATTCAATATTAGTTGTATCTATTATATATCAATCTTAATAATACAATAATCATTTAATGAAAAACTTGTCTACTAATTAAAAATTTTCTACCTTTCTTCTTTTTAAACCAAAGAAAATTGTCATGACGTAGAGAAAGGCATTTTGAATAAACGTAAACGTGGACATTATTTTTTCTATATCTGACTCTTGAGACTCCTTAAAAATATCCAATATATCCTTAAATGTATAAAATAAGATACTGTAATAAACTATACAACAAACGATATAAATAAAACCAATTGTACGAATCATTCGATCAACGAAATATTCTAATAAGCCGGTGCAAATAATTGAATTTGTTATAATCAATGGCATAACGGACCGTTGAAACTGTTTCGATCGGAACATTTTAAAGGATTTTAAAATATAAAATAATTTTAAAAAAACATATTAAACTTTTTTCCAAAAATACAACTTGTCACTTTCAAATATAATTATTTAATTTCTTCTCTTATTTTCGAAGTGTTTACTTGAAGTTTTCGAATGATATTAATTCTTATAACCAGTCATTCTTATATTATTATGACTTGAAGTACTAGCTTTCAACTGAACCTACTTTTTCCATTAAATTAGATTTCCTTTTTTCTTATCTTTTCGATGAAAGGCATTATTACATATTCATACACCTCACCTCGTTATCTAATGAAAATCAATGAGAAATTATTTATTAAGCGGAAATTAGATTGACATAAAATTTTTTTGCTATTAAAATAGATCACAAATAAGGGTAATTATTCTTCTATGATGTTCTATTTTATATAACTATTTATTCAATTTTTATAACACATTTATCTTTTTTACAATGGACAGAACAAAGGACTATAGCCTTTACGATTATTTTTTAATCCTTTTTTTATTAAATCGCTAACTTAAATTATAATGAAGGCATATATTGTTATGACATCGATATGATAATAGGAAAGTTAATTACATTTTCTATTATTTTATACTTCCTTTTTATAACGAAACTGATATGATATTAAATAATACATTGAAAACTTATACTGAGACATTCTCAACTTGAATGAGAATAACAAGATAAGTTATAACGGTACCGATCACCTATATATAATAAAAATATTAGTTGTCTATAATTCAAATATAAATCTAAATATCGATTGCGTAAAAATTATACTTTGAACGTACATTACGTATCAATGTATGATCAAGATCAAAAAAGCCATAAGATGTAAATATCAATGGATTTTGGATAAGTTGTAGAATAAAGCCACGAATCTAGAAATACCACAAAATAATATTAATTTTTCGTTAATTACTTTTATCAATTATTACCTCGGCACGAAATTCTTTGCTAGTTGACGGTTCGTATAATTCACAAAGGATATCTCCGGTGTTCGTCACATGTAATGAAATATGATATAACATTAATACTTATTTCGTTTGATATTTTATTGAAATATGAGAAAAAGTATTTATAACAAAAGAAAAAAATTATAAATATTAAAGGAACATACCTCCGTTATAGTTCTTGCGCATACAAGACAAACTATGATGATATTGAATCCAAAGTAAGAAATCCAAAATAAATGAATAAAGAATCGTAAGGATAGCAGATGGTAATCCTTTGTCATTAAAAAATAGTATACATTGTAACCCAGAGTAGTGATAAAAATAAAAGCTGTAGGTACAGATATTAAACTATGTATGCCATATACATCGTTTGTATACCTAGCACATTTGATTAATTCCAAATGTATCTCCCTACGACGAAATATGAAAAATATAGGTTAAAAAAATCTTTTTATAAAATTGTACTATATAATAATACATACTTTGCTTTTTTTATTTTTATAATATCTTCGTTTGATTTATACGTTCGGTGAATATTATATGACGAAGAATCGTCCTTGCTGTTATTCCACATTCGAAGAATTCTTTTATGTTGAGGCGAATCGGTAGTAGTCGTAAGCATGTTTTTCAGTAGTTCATTTAGTTGACTAAATTTTGTCTTTATATACCTATTATTAGTTTAAAGTTCGTTAAAATTCCATAAATAATCAGTTTTATTTTGCAATAGATTAAACGATATACTTGCCAGATCCAGAATACGAAAGTAACATCAGTTATTAACCATATGAAAAAAGGATAACGTTCCAAGTAAAAAAAAATAAATATTTTCCAATAACTACCTTCGAATGATATTACCCATCGATGATCAATCGCTATCATAGTTATTAAGATGAAAATCAAAAATAAGATAAGATAACATTGTAGTAAAAAATATTTAGACAAATTCATCGGTATATCGAGTTGACCCATAGTGCGTATACAAGTTTCTATTCGCAACGTGAGACGTTTCACTTTCTACAAAAGATAACGAAAAATGTCATAAGATAAAAATCTTGTTGAATTTAATAAAATAAATATAAACGAAGAATTTCACCTTTCTTCTGAAAACCCCAGCGATAATGTTGACAATAAGAAACACATAGCTGCTATAAATATGTAACTGATGCAATATTTGTATAAACAAAGATAGTTTTAATCTATTTTCTCCTTTCGGAAATGAAATTACATTGGCCATAGTAACGTAGAAAATGATTAAGAAACAAGCATAAATCATACCAATCGTGTTAATCTTATCATTGACAAAATACTCCACCAGTCCAGTGGTGAAAATTGAATTAATTACTATCAACGGTTTGATGCTATGTCGAAATTCTGCCGAGAGAGACATTTTTTTAATATTCTTCGTGTAAACACCTCTATTTATTTTTTTCCTCTTCCTTCGAACGCACTAATTATTTTCAATCTAACTAATCGAAGTAAATGAAACACTAATCGAGTAATTTAATATCCATAATATGTAGAAATGAGACGTATACGAGAATATTCTTTGTAGAGTTTTAATATGAGACTATGACTCCTCATATCTTATCCTTTGCAGTATACCTTATTATATTTGTATTAGATGTTGCACTTAATTTACATTCATATTTGAAGAGATAAGAATCATCATTTTCTTTGGTGCGATCGTTCGATGAAACCTACTTATACATATTACTTCTTTACCACGTAGAAATGAATACGAAATTATTCAAAAAACAGATATTATCTTCTTCTGTTCTAGTCTGTCGTTTCATTAGAGTATACATTTTCATTTGATAAAAAGTATTGATTTGAATTTTTATAAATTATCAATATTAAAAGTTGCAAATGATGATGAAAATATAATTATAATTATCAAATAATTATCAAAAATTATGATAATAATCTCTGATTGTTTTGTTTAATCAATAGTTTCGGCATCAAACATATAAAGAATTTAATTGTACTGCTCCAATTAAAAATTAAATTGTCATATTAATAATTATAATAACATCTATTAAAAAAGCTTATCCTCTGATTTCCTCTTCGAAAGTATAATTCCTATTAATCATTTTTAAAATAGTACTCGTGAAGAAATAACAAACTAATATCAATTCAGGTATAAATATTTGCCAATTAGTGTATATTCAAATTATTTGGCAATAATATATATGCTATAAGAACATAACATATATTGCCAAAGAAAAGAACATGAATCATAAATATTTGAATATTGTAAAAATTACTAAGATTTATCGATACTTTGTATAATTCTAGATTAATTTACACGTAACAATAAACTTAAATTTCTCATAGATTATTAGTCGATAACGTCGAATTTTGAAGGAAAATTTGTGATGATACCTTTCCAACTTGAATAAGAATAACGAGGTAAGTTATGACGGTACCGGTTATCTAAACATAATAAAAATATTAGTTGTCTATAATATAAATATAAATCTAAACATCGATTGCGTAAAAATTATATTTTGAACGTACATTACGTATCAATGTATGATCAAGATCAAAAAAGCCATAAGATGTAAATGTCAATGGATTTTGGATAAGTTGTAGAATAAAGCCACGAATCTAGAAGTACCACAAAATAATATTCATTTTTCGTTAATTACTTTTATCAATTATTACCTCGGCACGAAATTCCTTGCTAGTTGACGGTTCGTATAATTCACAAAGGATATCTCCGGTATTCGTCACATGTAAAGAAATATGATATAAAATTAATATTTATTTCGTTCAATATTTCATTGAAATATAAGAAAAAATATTTATAACAAAAGAAAAAAATGATAAATATTAAAGGAACATACCTCTGTTATAGTTCTTGCGCATAAATGACTAATTATGATGATTCTAAACCCAAAATAAAAAATCCAATTTAAAAAAATGAAGAATCTTCGATGATGCACAAAGTAATCCTCAGTCATTAAGAAATAGTATAGATCGTAACCCAAAGTTGTGATAAAAATAAAAGTTATTGTAACGGATATTAAAATATGTAAACCATACGCATCGTTTGTATTTTTAGCACATTTGATTAATTCCAAATGTATCTCCCTACGACGAAATATGAAAAATATAGATCAAAAAAATCTTTTTATAAGATTATACTATATAATAATACATACTTTGCTTTTTTTATTTTTATAATATCTTCGTCTAATTTATACGTTCGGTGAATATTATATGACGAAGAATCGTCCTTCTTGTTATTCCACATTCGAAGAATTCTTTTATGTTGAGGCGAATCAATAGTCGTTGTAAGCATATTTTTTAGTAGTTCATTTAGTTGACTAAATTTTGTCTTTATATACCTATTATTAGTTTAAAACTCTTTAAAATTTCATAAATATTTTTTTTTTGGAATAAATTAATTTATTGTTTTGCAATAAATTAAACGATATACTTGCCAGATCCAGAATGTAAAAGTAATATCGGCTATTAACCATACGAAAAAAGGATAATATTCGACGTAAAGGAAAATTAATGTTCTCATGTGTCTATCCTCAAATAATATTAACCATCGATGATCAATCACAATAATAACTATTATGATCAAAATCGAAAATAATATAAGATAACACTGTTGCCAAAAGTATTTAGACAAATTCATTGGTATATTCAGTTGACCCATATTTCGAATACAAGTTTCTATTTGCAACATGATATGTCTCATTTTCTACGAAAAATAACGAAAGTTGTTGTAAGGATAAAAATCTTGGTGAATTTAATAAAATAAAAGAACGATCACCTTTCTTCTGAAAACTCCACCAACAATGGTGACAATGATAAACACATAGCGGCTATAAACATGTAACTGATATGTCATTTTTAGTATTAATGATGGTTTGAAACACAAATTTTCCATTCCAAATGAAATTTCATTGGCCATAATAATGTAAAAAGTGATAGAAAAACAAACATAAACTATACCAATCGTGTTAATCTTATTATCGACAAAATATTCCATCAGACCAGTAGTAAAAATCGAATTTATTATTATCAATGGTTTGATGCTACGACGAAATTTATCCGAAAGAAACATTTCTGAAGTATTCTTTGAGCAAACAATTTTATTTATTTTCTTCTTCTTTCCCCAAACGCACTAATTATTTCCAACGGACTGATTGAGTAATTTATTATCCAATAGTTACGGAAAAGAAATGAATATAGAACATTATCCGCAAAGTTTCAATGTGACACTACTATTACTCGGAACTAATTACTTAGTTTACTTTTTATTTGAGAGATGAGAAGAGGTCTCTTTTTCTCTGAGCTATCGTTCGATTAATTTCACTTGCAAGTATTACCTTTTATCTCATAAAAATTAATAAGAAATTATTTATTACATAGATGCTATCTTTTTCTGTTCTTCAATATTTTTCTCTCTTTTTATTGACCCAGAAAAAATAAAAAGGGATATATTAAAATAAAATATGATATTATTTTAAATTGATGTCAATTACATGCGATACATTTATCGAATAAAGAAATATTTTAATTCATTCATCATATCCTCGATGTTGAATTGGAATACATATTGTTAGACAATATTTTAGGTTTATCTCCAATTTGAATAAGAATAACGATATAAGTAATAATCAAACCGATCGCCTATAACAAATATTAAATTTTTATAAAATGAAAGATAAAAGATATCCAAAGATAGCATTTTTAACTTACACTGTATATAAATTTACGATCTAGATTGTAGAATCCGCAGGCGGTGAAGATCAAACGATTTTGAACTAGTTGATACGTAAAATCACGAATCTGAAATAAAAAATTTTTCGTTTAGCAATATGATTTTTTATGGTGCCATTCATTTTTACTTACTTCATCGCGAAATTTCTTGCTGGTCGATGGTTCATACAGTTCATAAAGTATATCACCAATTTTCTCAGCATATAGAAAAATAAGAGAAATCATATAATATGCATTTCTATTAATATCTCTTATAATTCCAAAAGATTTTACTATCAAAAAGATTTAAATATCATTTATATTTATGGATAAAAGAAAGATGCAGTAAATTAAAAAAAAAACGTACTTCCGTCATCGTTGCCTCACATATATTGCTAATTGTAAAAATCTCAATAACATAAAAAATAATCCAATATAATAGCTCATAGAAATTTTCTATCCAATTGTCCAATTCGTATCCTGATACGTTAATGTATAAGTCATGTAATAATGTAATTAGAAATACAACGGATGACGACGTGGATAAAAGCATTTGTAATCCATAAGCGTCATTTATTATTCTGGCACATTTTATTAATTCCAAATGAATTTGTCTTTAATCAAAAGAATAAAAGGAAATTATTAAAAATCAAAAATAAATGATAAACCGTTTTGTACTATTAGACACTAACTTACTTGACCCTCTTTAATTTCACAAGGTTCTCATTCGCTTTGTACATTCGATAAACAATAGATAACGAAGAATCATCTTCCCAATTGTCTTTCATTCGGAGCACTCTCTTATGTTGTGGGGAATCGATAGTTGTTGTCAGCATACTTTGAAGTACATTATTCAATTGACCAAATTTGATTTTTATATATCTATTTAAAATCATTCGTTACAGTTTAATATATATTAATTTCTTTTCGTAATAAATAATATGATTGTCTTGCCTGATCCAAAAGATAAAAGTAAAGTTGCTAATCATTATTACGATGGTAGGATAATTGTTGAAGTAACAATAGTGTAGTATTAAAATATTATTGTGTGATAAGTTCTTATGGATGTACCAAAATATATCGAGTAAAATTAAGCTTGACATGTTAAAAATCAAAAATACACCTACGATACATTGATATTGGAAAAGAGAAGAATAAATTGTCGATATGTTTAATTCATCAATTTTTCGTGTACAAATTTCCAATTGTTCTATGAAGAATTTTATTTGCTGTAAATACGAATCAATTTACCAATTTATTCGATTATTTCTTATTTCTTGTATATAATATATTATTTAATAACATAATAAACATTTAAAGAAAAATCATGTCTATTAATTAAAAAGATCCTACCTTTTCTCTAACTAAACCAGCAAAAAGTGATATGACATAGAGAAAGAAGTTACTAAAATATTCGAACTTGCTAATTATTACTGCCGTTTTTGTTAATTGGTCTTCCGCCAAAATATCAATTAAATTTTTTAACGTATAAGTTAAAGTACTGTAGTAAACTGAACAACAAATAACATAAACAAAACCAATCGTACGAATCGTTCGATTAACGAAGTATTCTAATAAGCCAGTAGAAACGATCGAATTCGCAATAATCAGTGGCATAACAGATCGTTGAAACTCTTTCGATCGAAACATTCTAAAAGATTAAAATTTCTTTTTTTTTCTTGTTTTTGAAAATGCAACTTTTCACTTTTCAAGAAAAAATGTTAAAATTTTTTTTCCAATTTATAAGAAACTATTTGCTGAAGTTTTCGAACGATACTAATTCTTATTACCAGTTTTTCTATTTCTATTATACTAAAGTTTTTCCAAGATAGATATTATTATGACATCAATTTAGCTCGGGATAAAAACTAGAAATTTCCTACTCACCCTATTTTTCATTTTTTATCATTTGTCCTTATCTTTTGTATGAAAGGTATTCATACATATTTATATATATTACCTCGTTATCATATAAAAATCATTAAGAAATTATCTATGAAGCAGATCGTAGTATTGAAGTTAAATTTTATTTTTTTATTCTGCTTTACCATTCTATTTTTTATAAGGATCCAATCGTAAATTTTTATAATTACATTTGTAACAATCGAAAAAAAAAGGACTGGCGCAATGATTTATGATACTTTTTTTATTGTATTTTCGCCTTGAATTATGGCAACGATGAATATCATAATAAAAACAATACACTGAAAAATAAATAAATTAATTATACTTTTCATTGTTTTTGATTTCTTTTTGTTGTATAATATAATTATAGAATATATAATGATTGTTCTATGTAAAATTCATTTGCATAAAAATCATCCGCTTTTCTGTATTCAATCGATTCAAAAACAATGGAAGAAATCAGTAGAACTCACATTTTCTAAATATAACGAAACATTTTAGATATAAAGAGAATTACGTTGCCTATGTTGACCAAGGTCACTATGTTAAGCCAATAAAAAATGATTAAAACGCATTTCGATATTGCCTTACTTTTATTCCATTAAACAAATTATTAGATTTAAAGATATAGTTATATGTTTTATCTATTCGATTATATGATTAATGTCTTTACTTCATAGACACATTTACTTTGTAAAAAATATTGTATTAAGAGTAGTATTGCAAGATAAAAATATGAAAATAAATGTTATACAATATATAATATAACAAAGTGCCATTTGGAGAGTATTTTTATCAATTCATATATAATATTTTCTTAGTATATTCATATTTTTTAGTAATAATATTTGTGCTATAATAACAGCAGATTTGTTGTAAGTAAATATAAACAAATTACTATAAATATTGTAAACATTACAAAATACTGTTAAAATTACTAAAATATTTTGATGCATTTTATAGTGCCAGATAAATCTGCATCTAACAATGATTTTAAAATTCTCATAAATCATTAACCGTGAAGGTCGAACTTTCAACGAAAGTATATGATGATACATTTTCAATTTGAATGAGAATAATGAGGTAAGTTATAACAGCACCGAACATCTAAAAATAATGAACATTAATCTGTAATTTTAATATAACTCTAATAATCTATAGTATAAATTTTGCTTTGAACGTACACCATGTATCAATGTATAATCGAGATTAAAGAAACCACAAGTTGTAAATGACAGCGGATTTTGAATAAGTTGTAGAGTAAAGTTATGAATCTAGAAATATGATAAACTATTGATATTAAATTCCTAATAAATTTGTTTTTATAAATTTATTACCTCAGCACGAAATTCCTTGCAAGTTGACGGTTCGTACAATTCACAAAGGATATCTCCGGTATTTGTCGCATGTAAAGAAATATGATATAACATCAATATTTATTTCGTTCAATATTTCGTTAAAATATGAGGGGGGAAAAATTTATAACAAAAGAATAAAATAATTAATAAATAATTAATACCTCTGTTATAGTTCTTGCACATACATGACTTACAATGATAATCTTGAAACCAAAGTAAGAAATCCAATATAAATAAGTAAAACATTGCAAGAGATCCGTATAATAGCATTTAATTATTAAATGATAGTAAGCATTGTAAGTTGTAATAGTGATTAAAATGAAAGTTGTTATTAGAGAGAACAATGTATATGAGCTATACGCATCGTTTGTATTTTTAGCACACTTGGTTAATTCCAGATGTATTTCCCTTTGACAAAAAATGAAAAATATAAAAAATCAAAATAATTATTTTATAAAATTGCGTTATAAATAATTACCTGACTTTTTTTATCTTCATAATGTCTTCGTTAGGTTTATAAGTTCGATGAATATTTAATAACGGAGAATCGTTCTTGCTGTTACTCCTATATCGAAGGACTCTTTTATGTTGCGGCGAATGAATAGTAGTTGTAAGCATATCTTTCAATAGTTCATTCAATTGACTAAATTTGATTTTTATATACCTATTTTAAGTTCAAGATTCATTAGAATTTGACAAGTATTGAGTATGTTTTGCTATAGATCAAATGATTTACTTACCTTATCCAGAATACGAAAGTAACATCAATTACTAATAATATAATAAAGGGATAACGTTCGAGGTAAAAATAAATAAATATTTTCCAATAACAAGACTCTATTAATATTATCCATGAATAATCTAAAACTGCCATAGACATTACGATGAAAACGAAAAATAAGATAGGATAATATTGTTGCCAAAAAGATTTAGACAAATTCATTGGTATATTCAGCTGATCCATAGTTCGAATACACGTTTCCAATTGCAATGTGAAACGTCTTACCTTCTACGAAAGATAGCGAAAAATGTCGTACTGTAAAAATTTCAATAAATTAAATAAATTATAAGAACAAACAAATTCACCTTTCGTCTAAGAATCCCAGTGATAATAGTGATAATGTAAAATAAGTAATCGATGTAAACGTATATTTGTAGTGTTAGTTTTGCAATTGACGGTTGATTTTGTTCAAATATTGTAATAGGTAGCGATAATGAATAGATCAGCGAGAAATAGAAAACAATAGAGAAACAAACATAAGTTATACCGATTGCGTTAATCTTAATATCGACGAAATATTCCAGTAGACCAGTAGTAAAAATCGAATTCATTATTATCAACGGTTTGACGCTACGTCGAAATTCCCCAGATAAATACATTTCTAAGATATACTTCAACAAAAATAATGTCATTTATTTTCTTCCTGTTAATTAATTATTTCAAACACACTAATCGAAGAACTTGGTATTCAAAATTCGTAAGAAAAAAAAAAAAAGATAATGTAGAACATCCTTTGTGGAGTTTTGAAATGACACTACGACTGAGCGCAATTCATTGCTTGCATTATATTTTATTACGCTTTCATCGAATATTCTGACCTACATTCACGTTCGGAAACGTAGAAACATTACTTTTCTTCTATACATCGTTCGATAAAATCCACTTATAACTATTATCATATTACCATGTAAATATTATTCAACACACAAATGTTATTATTTGCTGATCTACTCTTTATTTTTTTCTTATTTCACTTTTTTTTATGATAACGCAGAAAAAATGAAAAAAAAACGTGATGTCAAACAAAATATTGTACCATATAAAAAATTGTCGATTACGTGTGATACATTTATCGAATGAAAAAACATTTTAATTCGTTCGTTATATTCCTAACGTTAAATTATAATTCGTATTGTTTAAGAATACTTTAGGTTTATCTCCAACTTGAATAAGAATAACGAGATAGGTAGTAATCGAACCTATCGCCTAAAACATATTAAAATATATATTAATTTCATTATAAATTCTTATGTAATGAAAGATATCTAAAAATTGCATTTTCAACTTACACTATATATAAATGTATGATCTAGATCGTACAATCTGCAAGCGGTAAACGTCAAACGATTTTGGGTTAGTTGAAACGTAAAATCACGGATCTGAAACGAAAGATAATACATTTAATATGTAATTCGATATATTATACAGTTACATGCATCGTTTCTTACCTCATCACGAAATTTCTTGCTGGTCGAAGGTTCATACAATTCGCAAAGAATATCTCCAGTGTTCTCGACATATAGAAAAATAAAAAAAAAATCACTATATACTTTTATTAAACTCTGTCGAAGTTTCAAAAGATTATATGTATTCTTAATATCAAATATAAGGTTAAACAAAAGAGAAAGAAAAATTAATTTATTAAAAAGAACATACTTCTGCCATTGTTATCTCACATATGTTGTTTATTGCAAAAATCTTGATGACAAAATATAAAATCCAATAGAAATGCGAATAGAACTCATTCATCCAATTGTCATAATTGTTTGTAACTGAAATAGCGTATAGACTGTATAAAAATGTAATAATAAATATGACGCATGAAGATATTGATATAAGAATTCGTATTCCATAAGCTTCGTTTATAATTCTGGCACATTTCAATAATTCAAAATGGATTCTCCTGCAAGAAATAAGAGGAAATTCCTTATTGAAGAAGAATAATAAATCGTTTTGGATTAATTATCAATAACTTACTTGATTCTCTTTAATTTCACGATGTTCTCATTCGCTTTGTACATTCGATAAACAGTAGATAACGAAGAATCATCTTCCCAATTATCTTTCATTCGGAGCACTCTTTTATGTTGAGGAGAATCAACAGTTGTTGTCAGCATACTTTGAAGTACACTATTCAATTGACCAAAGTTGATTTTTATATATCTGTTTAAAATCATTCGTTAGGATTTAGTAAATGCTGATGTATTTGATAATAAATAAATCGATTGACTTGCCTGACCCAAAAGACAAAAGTAAAGTCGATGACCATCGTTACGATATAAGGATAATTATCGAAATAATGAAATTGTAATTTTAAAATATAATTGAAAGGTAAGTTGATATAGGAGTACCAATATATATTATCAATAATTAAACCTACTATCATAAAAATAACAAATACTCCTATGATACATTGATAACGAAAAAGAGAGGAATAATTCTTCGGTACATTCAGTTTATCAATTTCTCGTGTACAAATTTCCAATTGTTTTACGAACAATTTAATCCACTGTAAAAATGAAGTTTTTTTAATTAAATTATTATCGTTATATATAAAATATCAGTATTATCGTTATATATAAAATATCAGTCTTAATAATACAATAATCACTTAAGGGAAACATTTATCAATTAATCAAAAAATATCTACCTTTCTTCTCGAAATACCAGCAAAAATTACTATGATATAGACAAAGCCGTTATTAATAAACCGAAATTTGGTGATTATTTTTCCCACTACTGTTGCTTGAACACGCGTAGAAATATCCAATATTTCCTTAAATAGATAAAATAAAATACTATAGTAAACTATACAACAAATGGCATAATAAAACCCAATCATCTGAATCGTTCGATTAACGAAATATTCTAATAGGCCAGTAGAAACGATAGAATTAATGATAATCAATGGCATAATGGTACGTTGAAAATCTTTCGACTGGAACATTTTAAAAGATTTTAGTTTTTTTTTCTTTTTTTTTTTAACACAACTTTTCAATTTCAAAAAGAACGTTTAGTTTTTTTTCTAATTTGTAAGAGACTACTTGCTAGAGTTTTCGAATGATACTAATTTTTACTATATGTCTTTCCGTTCTTATCACGCTTGAGTGCTTTTATAATAGATATGTATTATTATAATTTGCGTTGTTAGCTTGGAATAAAAACTTCCATTTTCATACTCATCCCGCTTTTTCATCACGTGAAATATTTTCTTTGCTCTTGTTATTTCGATGAAATGCATTCGCTCATATTTACACACATTATCTTGTTATGAAAAGAAAATCAATAAGAAATTATTTCTTTAACGAAACGTTATATTGACGTTAATTTATATTGTTATCAAAATAAATTACGAATAAGCGTAATATATATATATAAATGATTAGCTGTTAAACATCTCAAATATAAGCCTATTAGATGTACTTACTATATTTGGTTCAGTTTCGCAATTCAAATTCTAAAGAAAAAGTAGAGAATTTAGCTATGCTTCCAATTAGAATCACAGAATTACAGTTATAAACTAATCAGCAATAATTTCTTTCTTTCTGACATTAAAATGGAGGTATATAAACATATAAATCTTGAATTATAAATCTCTTATTTGAAAGATTTGATATTTTTCAAAATTTTACTGGGACATTACAACGTTTAATTATTGTTTATATTCTTGAATAATCGCCTAAAATATATACATATATATTAAATTCTTATATAATAAAAGACAAGAAATATCCAGAAATTGCATTTTTAACTTACACTATAAATAAATATTTAGATTTATATATAAAGATTTAGATCGTAGAAACCGCAAGCGGTAAACGTCAAACGATTTTAAATTAGTTGAAACGTAAAATGATGAATCTGAAAAATAATACATTTAATGGGTAATTTGTTATTCCTCAGTGACACACATTGTTTCTTACTTCATCGTGAAATTTCTTGCTGGTCGAAGGTTCGTACAAAAATGTCTCCAGTGTTTGCGACATATAGAAAAATAAAAAAAAATCAATATCTACTTCTATTAACATTTTTTGCAATTGTAACTTTGCACAAATTGTAAATTTGTTAAAATTAAAAAAAAAAAAAAGAAAAAAATTGTCAAAGAGAACATACTTCCGTCATCGTTGTCTCGTATACGGTTTAGTAATTGTTGACTTATTTCGTAATAAATAAAAACATTGACTTGCCTGATCCAAAAGAAAAAAATTAAATTCGATTACCATCGTTATGATGAGAAAATAATTATTGAAGTAATAGAATTATAACATTGAATTGTATTCGAACGATAATTCGATATCGCTTAACCAAAAATTATCATTTACAATTAAGCCTAATATAATAAAAATTAACAATATGTTTACGATACATTGATATTAAAAATGAGAAGAATAAGTACTCGATATGTTCAGTTCATCGATTATTTGTGTACAGATTTCCAATGGTTTTATGAACAATTTTATTCGTTTGTAAAAACGAATCGATTTATCGATTTATTTGATTATTTCTTGTATATAATATATCACTTAACAATACAATAAAGAAAAAAATTATCATTTGAATGGAAACATTTTACCTTTTTCCTCGTTAAATCGTCGAAAATTGTTATGATATAGAAAAAGGCGTTACCAACAAATGTAATTGTGGACATTATTCCTGCCGCAACTGATCTATCAGCACCCTTAAAAATACCTAACATATCCTTAAACTTATAGAATAAGATACCATAATAAATTAAACAACAAATAACATAAACAAAGCCAATCGTATTAATCGTTCGATTAACAAAATATTTTAATGCTAACGAACGAATTCGCGATAACCAATGGCATAGTAGAACGTTGGAAATTTTTTAATTGAAACATTTCACAAGACTTTTTAATTTTCTTACTATAAATAGCACTTTTCATTTTCAAGAAATATTATATTTTGAAGTTCCTTTTCTTAGAATTTATCACGACTCCTTTCAGGAGTTTTCGAACGATACTAATTCTTTCTATTAGTCTTTCTACACTTGTTAGACTTATTATACTCGAGTGTGTTCGTAATAGATATTACTATGACTTGCATCATTAGCTTGAGATAAAAATTATTAATTTTCTGCTTACCCAACCTCTTCCATCACGATAAATATCTTCTTCGTCCTTGCCTTTTCGATGGAAAAAATTAATCAATATGCATACACTTTACTTCGTTATCAAATAAAAATCAATAAGAAATTATTTATTTAAATGGAACGTTATATTGACTTTACATTTTATCGCTATTAAAGCTGCTAAAGATGTCAAAACTTTTATTCTTTTTCTTTTTGATATTTTATTTCATATAAGAATTGATTGGTAAATTATTATAATTATACTTGTATTATTTGTACAATTGATAAAACGAAGTTCTGTAATAAAAACTAACTCAATGATTTATCATCCTCCTAACATTGAATCGGTTACTTGTATCATGATAACCATATATGTCGTTATAATGCCGATACACTGAAGAATAAAAAAATTATTAGATATTTTATTCCTATTATTCTTTTACAGCGTTATACGTAAATTATTGTACCAACCGAACAAATGTGCTTGCAATTAAGATTATATAAACCGTAAGCGGAAAACATGTTACGACATTGCATCATTTGCAAAGAAAATATTTCTATCTGTAAAGGAAACAATATTCATTCATTTAAATTTTGAAATATTTCATAGAAATATTAACCTCCTTTTGTATCTCGAAATCCGTATTTTGCCCATAAAATGTGTGAATAATTTCGTTGGTGCGTTCAGCCTAGAAAAATCATAGTCATATAAAATAGAACGACGAATCATTGCTCTTTCATACCTCTTTCGTTGTTTTATCACAGATGTAATTAATTATAAAGATCTTTGTCGAATATTGTAAACATAAGAATATTGTGTGAGTAAATTCAAAAATCATTTCGTACGTGTTACATGATTTCTCCCGATACTTTGCATAAAGTCTATATAACACAATTATGTCAAGCATAACACACATTGCCATTTCTAGAGATATCTGTATGCCATACATATCACTAAAGGTTTTCGATACTCTATATAATTCGAGATGAACCTGTCTGAAAATATCAAATTTTCACGAATATTATAAATAATACTTTATTCGTTAGGCTCACCTGATTGTACGTAACAACATTCTACTCCTATTTATTTTGTGACTCGAAATTTGTAATTGCGACTGCCTTTGTCTTAATGACGATGCAACGATAAATAATTTTTTCGAATCGACAGGAAGAGATCGTTCTATAGAAAAAGAACCATCAGCTTCTCTGTGTTCAAATAATTCCGAAATAATAGAAGAAACAGGCAGCATACTGATATCGGCAAGAAGTTCGTTCGCTCGTTTAAATTCCGATTTGATGCACCTACGTATTTCAAAAATTTACAATTTACAATAAAAACATATAAAAAATTTAATAGTTAAAAACTATTACATACTTTACAATTGTAAAAAACTCGATCACCAGTAAAAATTCGATCATGAAACCATATATATGTAGAAACATTGAGTAATATATCATGAACGATTTATAAATCGGCTGATTTGTTAAAACCTGTTCTAAAATAATTATCGTAAAGAAGACGAACAAATAAATGATAACGATCATTATGTCCATTATCGTTCTCTTGTAAATACTGTTGAAAGATGTCGATGAGCCTAATACTTGAAGCGTTTTATCAACTTCGTCTATCTTTTTAGCACATAATTTCGATGCCTATGTATTGTTGATTTTAAGAAAATCATTGAATAATTTTATAGAAAAATCATAAATATTAATATATCATACACATCTATTCTAGGACTCACCTCGCTCCGATATAATCCCATTATAAGTATCATATATATCATTATATGATATATTATAGCTATAATATGAAGTATAAATCCGTCTAATTTATATATACTAAGGTTGGTTTTCCATTTATCGCGATGAAATGTTCCGACATAGTGCAAATACCAAAGTGTCGTCGAATAAAGAAAATTAAGTATAGGTTTTGAATATCCACGAAATTCGAAAATACGCAATCCAAAAATATTGCTTAGAATATAAATCAGCCATAAAACATCCCTTATACTTTTCGATGGAATTTTCTCAATTCTAAAGACTTCCCGAACATCTTTTCTTCTAAATCTTTCAATTAAATTTTTCATGATGTATTTCGTTGTCTTCTTTAATCATCGACAATCAAATCAATTTGTTTGTATAATAAATAAATTAATTTGAAAAGATTCAAGCTTTTAATCCTTTTTGCCTCTATTCTCTTCTCTTATTTTGTGAGACACGAATGGAATGCGGTGAGATGTGTTTGAAGGATACTATAATAATGCGTTACAGTTCCTCCAGTGCCGCTATAGAGCTCATCAAATCAATAACGCTGTCTATTTCCTTGATATCATTTTTTGTCATTATCTTTGGTCTTTATCTTGAGTAATTCATAGCAATATCTAAGACGTTGAAAAGATAAAGAGACAAGTACCTAATTATAATCTAGCTGGAGAAATTTCAATACCTTTTTTTTTTATTATATTTCTTATTAGATTATTGTTTTTATAATAATAAAAATAAAATGAAAAGTTTTAACGTGAAAATTAAACGATAATAGCAATATTGACAACCAATCTTTCTAGATATAATTAAAATTGTACATGTTAACCAAAGTTATTATAATAGATCAATGAAAAATAATTAAAATATTGCATGTTTTAATATTATTTTGACGCATACATGCGCAATCTCAGATATTTACAGAACTATCCCCTAAATGTATGAACGATATACGTACACAAGCTCAATACTTTTTTCTACAATACTTTCTCTTAAGGACCACATATCTCTATCAGATATATCTGTCCCTGGGAATTCCTTGGATAATCGTTATGAAAATAAGTAGATAAAAAGAAATTTAGGAATTGTTAGTAAAGTATTTAGTTTTCGATAATATGTCGAGTCGGACACCTACCTTTCAAATATCAATGCAATAATCCTGGATCCAAACGATTATTAGAATGAAGGATCATGCATGAGATTGGTTAAATATTTCGAACGAACTATTATGACATGTCCACTACCAATAAGAATATTGCTTTCCCATTCCAGATACTTTTTACTTAAATTTCCCTTTCCTAATTCATTAATACCTTCGTGGTTAGTTCGAGAGAAATTTATACACAATCGCACTCATTGGTAAGATAATCAAGTCTTATCAATATCACAGGCTATGCTTCAAATGGAGGTATCTAACACAAACTAAATCGTAGCAGTCTACCTTACATTCTTCCGACTCACAATATCTAGACCTCCGAGTTTTATTATATTACTGGCTTAGAAATAATCAAAACGATTCACTACACAAGAACACAAAACAATTATATCATACTACGATAAATATACTGTGATAACTACAATTCACATTATATCTGTTGTCTCGCATCTATCTCACGAGTTCCACGGGATTCTCCAAAAGAATTCGCGTTCTTCCATTAATTTGAACGCGGTGAGTGATATTTTGCTGACGGTCTACCATGGTAACCTAGCCTAATATCGCTCTACCCTTATTCATCGTGACCAGTAGGTTTATACCTCTGACTATTAGGAAAATATGAGGAAACTTTCTCCATGTAAATTGACTATCATCGCTTGTCTGGTGCGAGACGCGTGTCTGGAAACACTCTCGTAATTGCGTTCCTCACAACGCTTTTTTTATTTTATTACAATTACTTTACTTTTATTCTACGAGAAAAATCATCTATGTACATGATCGTATAATCAATTATATTTACTATTTAATTATTCGATTAATAGCTACACTTCATAATCATATTTATCTTGTAAAACATTATATTTAAATAGTATTGCAAGATGGGAGTTTAGAAATTATCGAGAAATTAATTACTTTTGTATAATATTTCGACCTACATTTACATTCAGATAAGTGGGAACTGTCTTTTTCTTTGATGCGATCGTTCGATGAAACCCACTTATAGGTATTAACCATTAGAAATTAATATAAAATTATTCAATATTCAGATGTTATCTTTTTCTATTCTTCTCTGTTTTCTCCATTTTCCTGTTTTTCTTTCTTTAAATGAATCTTCTATCGCATGAAAAAATCAAATGGTAGTCGGGGAAGTAGTAATAATACTTGTTAGAGTTAGATTAGGTAAGTGACGTGATCAAACATACCATCACACATAAATCATATTACTTTACGTACATAAGTGACATAGGAGAAGAGCAATTAAATACGAACGATTTGTTTCGAAAATATAATTTCTCATTTTTAAAATAAATGTTAAAGTTTCCTTCCTTATTTTCAAGCGGATACTTTTGCCGGAGTTTGATAGCAGTACTGATTCTTACTATCATTCTTTCTGTTCTTTTTTGTACTCGAATGATTTCATAACGAATATTATTAGGCATTGTTAGCTTGGGAAAAAACTACACCAATTTCCTATATACTCTACTTCTACTATCTTGTTAAATATTTTCCTCGTCTTCATCTTTTCGATAAAAGACACACATTGCCACATAATCAAAAGAAAATCAATAAAAGATTATTTCTTAAGCAGGATGTTATATCGGAGTTAATTTTTATAGATATTCAAATGAACAATAAATGATTAGATATTATAATTATTATTTATTAATCTATTATTAATAAATTATTTCTTAAGCAAAAAGTTATATCGGAGTTAATTTTTATAGGTATTAAAGTAAACAAAGGACAATATTTTAATTTACTCTTTTCATATCATATAAGAATACACTTATAAATTTTTAAATCAACACTTTTATCGTTCCTACAATAAACAAGATGAAGGACTACAATAGAGATTTATGACTTTCCTTTTACTGAATCGGTTACTTGTATCATGATAACCATGTATGTCGTTATAATGGCAATGCACTGAAGAATAAGAAAATAAATTATATTTCTCATTTTCATAACATGACTATACATAAATAATTATACAAACCGAACAAATGTGTTTGCAATTAAGATTATATAAACCGAATGCGGTATAAGCGTTATGATGTCGCATCATTTGCAAAGAAAATACTTCTACCTGTATAGAAAAAGATATTAATTCATTTAAATTTTGAAATATTTCATAGAAATATTAACCTCCTCGTGTATTTCGAAATCCGTATTTTGCCCATAAAATGTGTGAATAATTTCGTTGGTTCGATCAGCCTAGAAAAATCGTAAAGTAGTTATATAAAATAGTACAATGAATCACTGCTCTCCCATACCTCTTTTGTTGTTATGTCACAAATATAATTAACGAAAAAAATCTTAGTCGAATGTTGTAAAAACAACAAAAGCGCTCTAATGAATTGAAAAATCAATTCGTGAGTGTTACTTATTTCTTCCTTGTACTTCACATAAAAATTATATAGCACATATGTGTTGAGCATAACACACATTGCCATTTCTAGGGATATCTGTATGCCATACATATTACTAAGATTGTTGGATACTCTGTATAATTCCAGATGAATCTGTCTGTGAATATCAAACTTTCACGTATATTATAAATAATACTTTGTTCGATAGGCTCACCTGATTGTTCGTAACAACATCCTACTTCTATTTATTTTGTGACTCGAAATTTGTAATTGCGACTGCCTTTGCCTTAATGATGGTGCAACGATAAATAATTTTTTCGAATCGACAGGGAGAGCTCGTTCTATAGAAAAAGAACCATCAGCTTCTCTATGTTTAAATAATTCCGAAGCAATAGAAGAAATAGGTAGAACACTGACATCGGCAAGAAGTTCGTTCGCTCGTTGAAATTCCGATTTGATGCACCTACGTATTTCGAAGATTTCCAATTAATAATAAAACTGAATTAATGCGTGAAATCATTACATACCTCACAATGGTAAGGAATTCGATCACCAGTAAAAATTCAATCATGAAACTATACATATGTAAAAATATGAAGGAACATATTTTTAACGACTTTATAAACGGCCAATCTTTTAAAATTTGCCCTACGATCTTTATCGTAAAGGAAAAGAACAAATAAATAATAATTATCGTTATGTCTCTTATTGTTTTATTGTAAATGTTGTTGAAAGATGCTGATGAGCCTAACGCTTGAAGCGTTTTATCGATCTCGTCTATCCTTTTAGCACATAATTTCAATGCCTGCTTATTATTCGTTTCAAGAAAATCAGTGAATAATTTTATAATAAAAATCGTTAATATTAATATATCATACACAGTTCATGGACTCACCTCTCTTCGACATAATCCTATTATAAGTATCGCAATTATCACTATAAAATGTACGGTAGATGTAATATGAAATATAGTTTCGTGTACATCAATTATTCTGTTGTCTGAGCAATAAAAACGAGATATAAAATATAGACAGCAAAGTAACATCGAATAAAAGAAATTAAGTATTGGTCTGGTACGACCTCGAGAAAATCTCAAAAAACGCAATCCAAAGATAATGCTCAAAATATCGATAGGTCGCAAAACATCATTCATACTTTTCGATCGCTCATACTGTGTTTTATCAACTTTAGAAATACGTCGAACATTTTCTTTCTTTCTAAATCTCTCAAATAAATTTCTCATACTTATTTCGTTTTTTTCTCTAATCGTTGACAAACACAGATCACAATTAATTGTAAAATAAATTTTAATATATCGCAGTCTTTACACTATTTATCTTTGTTTTTGTCTCTTATTTCAGGACACTCTAACAGAGTCCGATAAAGTGTCTTCGAAGGATATTATAGTAATGCGTGAAAGTCTCTCAAATGTGGCGCTGCGATACTCATCGAGACGAGAACGCTCTCTATTTGGTTGATATCTCTCATTATCTTGAATATTTCATAACAGTGTTTAAGATGATGAAACTATAAAAGAACAAGTTTCATAATATAGCTGATGATCAATACCTTTTATTATTATATTTTTTGTTAACAGCATTAATATTTTGTATATTTTGTAAAATCGATGTATGTAAATATGATAATGGGAAAAAGATATAAATAAATCATGATAAAACTTTTCTAATAATTTATCCCAAATGATGAGTAAGGATCAAATATCCATATTAATAACATAACAAAAAATAACATTGCATAACACTGTTGCCCAAAGAATTTAGACAAATTCATTGGAATGAATCAAATTCAATTGTTCCATGGATCGAATACAAGTTTCTATTTGCAACTTGAAACGTTTTATCTTCTAGAAAAAATAACAAAAGATGATATAAGAAAAATATACCAATAAATTAAATAAATTACAGATATGAAAAACTTCATCTTTCTTTTAAGAATACCAGCGATAATTGGGACGATATAAAACATATAACCATTATAAATGTATAATCGATGCGTTATTTGTATAAGTAATGGTTGTGTAAGTAAATGTGGAAAATGAACATAGATAGATCATCGAAATTTAAAAAATGATAAAGAAGTAATCATAAACTAAACCGATTATGTTAATATTAATATCGATGAAATATTCTACTAGATCAGTGTAAAAAATCGAATTAATTATTATCAACGGTTTGATGCCACGTCGAAACTTTACTGATGAAAATATTTCTAAAATATTCTTCAAGGATTCAACTATATTTGAATTTTTCCTCTCTTCTCGAAGAAACTAATTATTTCAAAAACACTGATCGAGAAACTTAATACTCAAAATCCTTTGAAACAAAGAAATGCAGTATATACAATGTTGAGTTTCGAAATGGTAATTAAAACAACTCACAACGCTTTATTTGCATTATTTCTTATTAAGATCTTATTGGATATTATTATTATGACCTAGTTCGGATGTTATGACTCGCGTTCGAATAAATAGGAACTGTTTTTTTCTTTGATGCGATCGTTCGATGAAACCCACTTATAGGTATTAACTTTTTTGCCATTAGAAATTAAATTAAAATTATTCAATATTCAAATGTTATCTTTTTTTATTCTTCTCTATTTTCTCCATTTTCCTGTTTTTCTTTCTTTAAATGAATCTTCTATCGCATGAAAAAATCAAATGGTAGTTGGGGAAGTAGTAATAATACTTGTTAGAATTAGATTAGGCAAGTGACGTGATCAAACATACCATCACACATAAATCATATTACTTTACGTACATAAGTGATATCGGAGAAGAGCAATTAAATACGAACGATTTGTTTCGAAAATATAATTTCTCATTTTTAAAATAAATGTTAAAGTTTCCTTCCTTATTTTCAAGCGAATACTTTTGCCGGAGTTTGATAGCAGTACTGATTCTTACTATCATTCTTTCTGTTCTTTTTTGTACTCGAATGATTTCATAACAAATATTATTAGGCATTGTTAGCTTGGGAAAAAACTACACCAATTTCCTATATACTCTACTTCTACTATCTTGTTAAATATTTTCCTCGTCTTCATCTTTTCGATAAAAGACACACATTGCCACATAATCAAAAGAAAATCAATAAAAGATTATTTCTTAAGCAGGATGTTATATCGGAGTTAATTTTTATGTGTTAAAAGTGTTAAAGTGTGTTTAGGTGTTAAAGGTGTTAAAATGTGTTTAGGTGTTAAAGTAAACAAAGCCCAATTATTTCGATTTACCGTTTTATAAGTATTATATAAGAATACACTTGTAAATTTTTAAATTAACATTTTTATCGTTGCTACGGTGAACAAGTTAAAGGACTAGCGTAATGATTTATAATCATTCTTTCATTGAATCGTTTACTTGTATCATGATAATCATATATGTCGTTATAATGCCGATACACTGAAGAATAAATAAGTAAATATATATCTCATTATATTTTACTTCACTTTTAGAACATGATTGTAAGTAAATAATAATACTAACCGAACAAATGTGTTTGCAATTAAGATTATATAAACCGAATGCGGTATAAGCGTTATGATGTCGCATCATTTGCAAAGAAAATATTTCCACCTGTAGTGAAAATATTATTAATTCATGTAAATTCTGAAATATTTCATAGAAATAACAACCTCCTTTTGAATCCCGAAATCAGTATTTTGACCATAAAATGTATGAATAATTTCATTGGTTCGCTCAGCCTAAAAAAAGCATAAAATCGTAATATAAAATAAGACTACGAATCACTGCATTCCCATACCTCTTTTGTTGATTTATCACATACATAATTAACGATAAAAATCTTAGTCAAATGTTGTAAACACAACAAAAATAATCTAAAGAAAACTAAAATCAATTCTTGAGTGTTACGTATTTCTTCCTTACACTTCACATAAAACGTATATAATGTATACGTGTTAAGCAAAACACACATTGCAATTTCTAGAGATATCTGTATGCCGTATATATTACTAAGATTTTTGGATACTCTGTACAATTCCAGATGAATCTGTCTGAAAATATCAAATTTTCACGTATATTATAAATAATACTTTGTTCGATGGGCTCACCTGATTGTTCGTAATAGCATTCTACTTCTATTTATTTTGTAAATCGAAATTTGAAATTGCGTCTGCCTTTGTCTTAATGACGGTGCAACGATAAATAATTTTTTCGAACCGACAGGAAGAGATCGTTCTATAGAAAAAGAACCATCAGCTTCTCTGTGTTCAAATAATTCCGAAGCAATAGAAGAAACAGGTAGTATACTGACATCGGCAAGAAGTTTGTTCGCTCGTTGAAATTCCGATTTGATGCACCTACGTATTTCGAAGATTTCCAATTAATAATAAAAATAAATTAATACGTAAATATGTTACATACCTTACAATGGTAATGAATTCGATCACCAATAAAAATTCGACAATAAAACTATATAAATGTAATATTGTTATGATATATTTGTCAAGTGATTTAAAAAACGTCTGACCTCTTAAAATTTGCTTTACGATCGTTATCATAATAAAGGAGAACAAATAAATGATAATTATCGTTATGTCCCTTATTGTTCTATTGTAAATGTTGTTGAAAGATGCTGATGAGCCTAACGCTTGAAGCGTTTTGTCGATCTCGTTTATTTTTTTAGTACATAATTTCGATGTCTGTGTATTGTTCGTTTCAAAATAATCAGTGAATAATTTTATAAAAAAAATTGTAAATATTAATACATTATTCACAGTTCTAGGACTCACCTCGCTCTGATATAATCCCATTATAAGTATTATAATTATCACCATATGATGTATGATAGTTGTCATATGAAATATAGTTGTATGTATACCGTTTATTTTGTTATGATTCCAATAAAAACGACCAGCAATATATAGACAGCAAAGTGACATTGAATAAAGGAAACTACATATTCGTCTTGAACAATCACGGCGAAATCCAAAAACATGCAATCCAAAGATAATGCTCAGAATATCAATCGGCCGCAAAACATCACTCATACTTTTTGATCGCTCATAATTTAATTTATCAATTTTTGAAATATGTCGAATATTTTCTTTCTTTCTAAATCTCTCAAATAAATTTTTCATGTTTATGTACTCGTCTTTTCCAATTGTCGACAAACACAAATCACAATGACTTGTAGAATAGAAAAATAAACTTTAATATATCGAAGTAATTTTTCTTTTTATCTTTGTTTTCGTCTCTTATTTTGAAACTTGAAGCAGTGTACGATAAGATGTCTTCGAAGGATATTATCGTAATGCGCGATAGTATCTCAATTGTGGCGTTGCGTACTCATCGAGTCGATAACACTCTCTATTTCATTAATAATATTATCTTGAATAATTTATAATAATGTTTAAGTCAGTGAAAGTATAAAAGGACGAGTATTACTATTTAGTTGAGGAAAATTCAATGCCTCTTATTATTATATTTTTTTATTAATAACATATATTTTTTATAAAATAAAAATAAAATAGAAGGATTAAACATAACAATAAAACAAAAGTAACAGTACTGATAATGCAATGAAAAAAGAAATCACTTTGGAAGCAGAAATGAAAAAGAAATAAATATATGCAGCTATTTGGTATAGTCTGATTGTATTCACACTTTTTAAATATTTGTGCTATAAAAAAGTACATGTGATGGATGAGAAATATAAACGGCTTACTATGTATATTTAATGCTATAAACAGTACTAAAAATTTCTACACTTAATATAGCTCTAGACATATATCGAAAAATGATCTTATATTTCTCAATCATTATTAGTTGATAACGTCGAATTTTCAGTTGAAACTTGTGATATGTTACCAACTTGAATGAGAATAACGATGTAAGATACGATGATACCGATCACCTGAAAATAATAAACATTAATTATCTATAATGCTAATATAAATCTAAATGTCAGTAGCAAAAATTATGCTTTGAACGTACATTATGTATCAATGTATGATCTATATCAAAAAAGCCATTAATCCTAAAAATCAGTGGGTTTTGAATAAGCTGTAGAGTGAAATCACTAATCTGTAATTATAATAAAGTATTGATAGTTATTAATTTCTCGTAAATTTGTATTAATCAATTATTACCTCTGCACGAAATTCGTTACTGGTTGACGGTTCATACAATTCACAAAGAATATCTCCGGTGTTTGTCGCATGTAAAGAAATAAGATATAATATCAATATTTATTTCGTTCAACCTTTGATTGAAATTTGAAGAAAAAAAATTCATTATCGTAAAAAAAAATAATGAACACTCATAAGAAACATACCTCGGTGAAAGTTCGTGCACATTCATAACTTACTATAACGATCTTGATCGCAAAATGAAAAATCCAATATAAAAAGTTGAAAGTTGTTAACAGTTGTTCACGGTAGTCCGTAGATATTAAAAAACAGAACAAATTGTAAGATATAATGATGATTAAAATTAAAGATGCTAATGTAGACAATAAAATATGTAAGCTATAAGCATCGTTTATATTCCTAGCACACTTGATTATTTCCAGATGTATCTCCCTTCGATAAGAAATGAAATATATAAAAAATTAATACGACAATTTTATACAAATCGACCGTAATTATATGGTTATTAAATTACTTCGCTTTTTTTATCCTTATAACGTCTTCGTCCAATTTATACGATTGACGAATATCATTTGATGCATGCTCATCCTTTCTAATATTCCTCCTTTGAAGAACTCTTTTATGTTGTGGCGAATCAATAGTAGTCGTTAACATGTTTTTTAGTAGTTCATTCAATTGACTAAATTTCATCTTTATACAACTATTTATAGTTTAAAACTCATTAAAAATAGTATATCTAACAATTTTGCGAAACATAAAACAATTTACTTGCCTTATCCAGAATAAAAAAGTAAAATCGTTGATTAATAGTACAATAGCGGGAAGACGATATAGATAAAGGATGATAAAAATTCTCCAGTAATTCATACCGAGTGATAGTAATCTTTGAATATCAATTATTATCATAATTATTAATGTGAAAACAAAATATAACATTACATAACAATATTGCCAAAAACATTTAGATAAATTCATTGGAATATTTATTTGTTCCATAATTCGAATACAAGTTTCTATTTGCAACTTGAAACGTTTTGTCTTCTGCAAAAAATAACAAAAAATGATGTAAGATAAATATACCAATAAATTGAATAAATTACATATATGAATAACTTTACCTTTCTTCTAAGAATACCAGCGATAATTGAGATGATATAAGATGTATAAATATTGTATACGTATAACCGATATGTTATTTGTATAAAGAATGATAATGTTTCTTCCAAAATAAATATGAAAAATGAATATAAATAGATCAATGAGACATAAAAAATGATAGAGAAACAACTATAAACTAAACCAATCATGTTAATATTAATATCGATGAAATATTCTACTAGACCAGTAGAAAAAATCGAATTCATTATTATCAACGGTTTGATGCCACGTTGAAACTCTGCCAATGTAGACATTTCCAAAATATTCGTCAAGGTTTCAACTGAATCTGTATTTTTTTTTCCTTTCAATAAAAAAACTAATTATTTCAACTTTTTTAGACGAAGAGAATGCAGAACATTCTTAGTATTGATATGACACTTACGATACCTCACAACACTTTGCTCGCATTATATTTCATTACATTCGTAGTTGACATTTTCCTGATCTATGTTCGCATTCGATGGAGGGGGAATTCACCTTCTTTGTCCGATCACTCGATTAAATCCACTTAAACATATTACTTTCTTATCACATAAAAATAAGTAGGAAATTACGGAATACTTAGATATTAGCTTTAGACATTCTTCTCTCATCTCTCTGTCTTTTCGCTTTTTCTTTTTATCGATTTACAGATGAAAAGATGTGTTATACTACAAAATATGATATTACATAAAACATTGTCTATTATGTACGATACATTTTCGTATAAAGAAACATTCCGATTTATTCATTATGTCATCGACGTTGAATTATAAATTGTATTATTGATATATACTTCAGGTTCACCTCCAACTTGAATAAGTATGACAAGATAGGTAGTAATCGAACCAATCGCCTACAACATACATAGATATCTTACATTGTCATAAAATGAAAAATAAAAGAAAGCAAATTTGTATTTTCAATTTACACTGTACATAAATGTATGATCTAGGTCGTAAAATCCGCAAGCAGTAAACTTTAAACGATTTTGAATTAATTGCATCATAAAATCACGAATCTGAAAGAAACAAATAAATTTTATATATTTTGTTTATATTATTAAATCAATAATTGATAAAAATTATTTCCTACTTGATCGCGAAATTTCCTACTGGTCGAAGGAACATACAATTCATACAGAATCTCTCCAGTGTTTGCGGCATATAAAAGAAATAACGAAAGTCAATATATATCTTCTTACATCTCTTACATTTAAAAAGGATTCTACATTTTGTAAATATCAGATACAAGATTATGCAATAAAAAGAATAGAAATTGTTAAAATAAAAAAGCATACTTCTGTAATCGTTGTCTCACATATATTTGCTTTTACCAAAGTCATAATGCAAAAATAAAAAATCCAACTTAAATGCACGTATAACTTTTTTATAAAATTATCATATTTGTTTGCCATTGAGATAATGTACAGATCGTATAACAATGTCGTGATAAATACGATGGATGTAAATATAGATATAAGAATAGGTAATCCATAAGCTTCATTTATGATTCTGGCACATTTCATTAATTCCAAATGGATTTGTCTTAAATAAAAAAAATAAGAGAAAACTGTTAAAAATCAGAGAGGAATTATAAACCACTTCGTACTAATTGTCAATGACTTACTTGATTCTTTTTAATTTTACAAAGTTTTCATTCGTCTTGTACGTTCCATAAACAGTAGATAACGAAAGATCATCTTCCCAGTTATCCTTCATTCTGAGCACTCTTGCATGTTGTGGAGAATCGATAGTTGTTCTCAGCATGCTTTGCAGTACAGCATTTAATTGACCAAACTTAATCTTTATATATCTACTTAAGGTCACTCGTTAGGTTTTAATAATTGTTGACTAATTTTATAAGAAATAAAAACAATGACTTGCCTTATCCAAAAGACGAAAGTAAAATCGGTAATCAACATTATGATGACAGGATAAAAGTCGATGTAAAACAACAGAAACATCGAACTACGCCATAACATTGTCTCAGAAAACCAAAAAAATTCAGCTAGAGTTAAAGCTAATATTATGAAGATTAAAAATCCATATATGACACACTGATACCAGAGAAATGAAGAATAATTTTCCGGAACGTTCAGTACATCCATTCCTTGTCTACAGGATTCTATTTGTTCTATGAACAATTTTATACACTGTAAATATTAACCAATCAATCTTAATAATACAGCAATCACAGAATCAAAGAAATTCACATTAAAAAATAAAAAAATTTCTACCTTTCTTTTCATAAAATTATTGAAAATTACAATGTTATAGATGAAAATATTACTAAAATAATTCGAGATCATAATTATATTTCTTAATTCTGATCCTTTATTTTCCATTAAATTGTCAAATATATTCGTAAACGTAAAGAATAAGATATTGTAGAAAACAAAACAACAAACGACATAAGCAAAACCAATTATACGAATCGTTCGATCAACGAAATATTCTAACAGGCCAGTACAAACGATTGAATTAACAATAATCAATGGCATGACGGAACGTTGAAATTCTTTTGATCGAAACATTTTAAAGGTTCCTATAATTCTCCTTATTAATATTTACACTTTTCATCTCCTAATATAATTTTATAGCTTCTATTATCTTCAAGCAACTCTTCGCTGAAATTCGCGAGCGATACTAATTCCTATTAGCAATGTCTGTTCTCCTTATACTTGAGTGTTTTCATAATACATAACATTATGACATATCATTATTACGAAAAACTACCATTTTCTTACACTCCCTATCTCTTTCATCATGTTAAATATTTTCTTCGTCCTTGTCTTTTAATGGAAAGCATTCATCTATATACATAGGCATTACCTCTTTATCAAGTGAAAATCAATAAAAAATTATTCATGAAGCGAAACGTTATATTGTCCTTAACTGTCATCACTATTAAAATAGCAAACGAATTAAAACATTTGATCTTCTTAACAATTTTATTACATATAAGAAATTATTTGTAATATTATATAATAACACTTGTATAGTTTGTAAAATTGACAGAAGTACCACCGTAATGATTTATCATTCTACTTTTATTGCATCGGTTATTTTTATGATTATAAATATGTATATCGTTATAATTTCCATACACTGAAGAATAAAAAAATTATTAGATATTTTATTATTATTATTCTTTTACAGCGTAATTATACGAAAATTATAATATCAATCGAACAAATGTACAATATTTGCAATTATATAAATCGAACGTAGAATATGCATTATGAAATTGCATCATTTGTAAAGAAAATATTTCTAATTATAAAGAAAACGATATTAACTTATATAAATTTTAAAATATTTCTTAGAAACATTAACCTGTTTTTGTATCTCGATGTCCGTGCTATTACCATAAAATATGTGAATAATTCCATAAATGTGTTCTAAAAAAATCATGAAATAGTTATATAAAATTGAACGGAGAATCACTATTCTCTCAAATCCCTTTTGTTGTTTTATCAAAGATTTAATTAATGATACAGATCGTCATCCCATTTTGTAAACAAACCAAAATCGTTCAAATGAATTGAAAAATTTTATATCTTAACGTCCATATTCCGTCTTTTATAATAAAATCAACTGGTAGAATACAAACAGCAAAATGATGTAGAATAAACAAAACTAAGTATTGATCTTGAATAGCTTCGAGTAAATCCGAAAAGACACAATCGAGAGATATTACTTAGAAAATGAATTGGCCATAAACTTTTCGATGGTATTTTGTAAATTTTAGAGATACCTCGAAATTTCTCTTTTTTTATAATTTTCTCAATTAAATTTCTCATTTTTTCAACATTGTTATTTTCTTTAATCGTCAATGATCGAAACAAGTTTATGCAGATAATGGATAAATTAATCTGAAAAAATCCAAATCTTTGTCCTTTCATCTATAATTTTATGAAACATAAATGAAGGATATTTCCAATGAGATTCGAAGGATATATAAATATGTACGAGTTTATGGAGTGTAACGCTCTTAAACTCATTGAACACAATAATAAAACAATAATAACAATACTGATAACGAAACTTTCTAGATATAAAAAAGATTACGATGCACGTGTTTACCAAGATCGCTACAATGGATTAAAGAGGAACGATTAAATTGCATTCATTGCTTTACTTTAATTTCTCCTGTAGGAAAGTTATTAATACGTCTGATCTTTCCTAATCGATCTATTGAACCTTTATAAGATATTAATGTGCAAATTAATTTTATTGACACCAATTAAAATTTTTATATCGTAAGAAATCTAATAATATAACATCACCCCAATGTATTAAAAATAATCCAAAAATTTCGTATGTATGTTGACAGCTACGATATCGATTATTTTTATTTATTTGCAATACTATTCGAATATATCTACTTTCGATTAATTAAATATAAACTAAAAGTTGTATATATGCATTGACCGTGTCCGAGTTAACATTTCCACCAACGAAATGATTTCAATTATATTAACTTATCCATTTAAAAAAATTATCAATATTAGAGAAAAAAACTGCGGAAAAGATTTATTTGTATAACATATTCCGTAATTTCAGCGAAAAAAATTGTAAATGATTTCATTGTCTTCACCGACTAAAAAATGATTTATCGTATACTCGACTATAATTGTACAATACATATCAAAAAACTTATTTCTTCAGTTGTCTCATTGGAAGTGCAACGAAAAAAAAATTACAATGACAATGGTAGCGACGAAGAATTGAACAAATACAGCCTATTCGTATATACCAATTTCCTAATTGTATTCACACTTTTTAAATATTTGTGCTATAAAAAAGTACATGTGATGGATGAGAAGTATAAACGGCTTACTATGTATATTTAATGCTATAAACAGTACTAAAATTTCTACACTTAATATAGCTCTAGACATATCTATATCGAAAAATGATCTTATATTTCTCAATCATTATTAGTTGATAACGTTGAATTTTCAATTAAAACTTGTGATACGTTACCAACTTGAATGAGAATAATGATGTAAGTTGCGACGGTACCGATCACCTAAAAATAATAAATATTAGCTGTCTATAATTTTAATATAAATCTAAAAATTAGTGGCAGAAATTGTGCTTTGAACGTACATTACGTATCAATGTATAATCAAGATCGAAAATGCCACAGCATATAAGGATCAATGGGTTTTGAATAAATTGCAAAGTAAAATCACGAATCTAAAAGTATAATAAAATATTGACATTAACTTCTCGAACTTTTCCAATTATCAATTATTACCTTCATACGTATTTCGTTACTGGTTGATGGTTCGTACAATTCGCAAAGAATATCTCCGGTTTTCGACGCATGTAAAAAAATACGATATTACATCAATACAAATTTCGTTTAGATTATGGTTAAAATTTCATGAAAAAAAATTTCTTATTATAACAAAAAATATAATGAATACTCATAAGAAAGATACCTCAGTGACTGTTCGTGCACATATATGACTTACTAAAATGATCTTGATTGCAAAAAGAGAAATCCAGCAAAAAAAATTTAGTTCGATTTGTAGTACATCGTCGGTAGATAATAAGAGACAGAACAAATTGTAAGACATAATAGTGATTAAAATTAAAGCTGTTGATATAGAGAATAAAATATGTAAGCCATAAGAATCATTTATATTCCTTGCACACTTTATTATTTCCAGATGTATCTCCCTTCAATATGAAATGCAATTTAGGAATGATTAAAACAGCTGTTTGATATATATATAATATTAAATTATCAAAAATTAATATTAATAATTACAAATGTTATAGTTGCACCATATAATAATTACCTTGCCTTTTTTATCCTCCTAACATCTTCCTTCGATTTATACTTTTCACGAATATCGTCCAAAACAGGTTCGTTCTTCCTGATATTCCTCCTTAGAAGGACTCTTTTATGTTGCGGCGAATCAATAGTAGTCGTTAACATGCTTTTTAGTAGTTTATTCAATTGACTAAGTTCCAACTTAATAAAACTACATATAATTTAAAACTCGTTAAAAATAATATATCTAACAATTTTACAAAACAAAACAAATTACTTGCCTTATCCAGAATACAAAAGTAAAATCGATGAATGTCAATACGATGATGGGATAACGATATAGATAAAGGATGACAAAAGTTTTCCAGTAATTTATCCCAAATAATAGTAAGAATCGAATTTCCTTAATAATTATATATAATAACATGAGAACAAGAAACAACATTATATAATATTGTTGCCTAAAGAATTTAGACAAATTCATGGGAATATCCAGTTGTTCCATAGTTCGAATAAATGTTTCTATTTGCAACGTGAAATGCTTTATCTTCTGCAAAAGATAACAAAGGATATTATAAAATAAAAATACTAATAAATTGAATAAATTATAATAAAGCAAAACTTCACCTTTCTTCTGAGAACACCAGCGATAATGAGGACGATATAAGCCACAAAGCTGTTATGTACAAATAACCGATGCGTTATTTGTATTAGGATTGATTGTGTATCGTCATAAATAGATATGACAGAAGAATATAAATAGAATATCGAAACGTAAAAAATGATAGACATGCAAGCATAAACTATACCAAACATGTTAATATTAAAATCGATGAAATATTCTACTAGACCAGTGCAAATAATCGAATTCATTATTATCAACGGTTTAATACCACGATGAAACACCGCCAGTGAAGACATTTCCAAAATGTTCGTCAAGGACTTAACTTGATCTATATTCTTTATTCTTCTCGAAAAAAAAACTAATTATTTCAGTCACACGGATTGGAAAACTTTATACACAAAGTTCTTTTAGAACAAGAGAATATAGGATATTCTTTGGTGAATTTTAATATGACACTTATGACACCTCATAACGCTTTGCTCGCATTACATCTTACTACGTTCATAGTTGATATTTTCCTGACCTATGTTCGCATTCGATAGAGTGAGAATTCTCTTTCTTCGTCTAATCATTCGATTTAATCTACTTGTACATATTACCTTCTTATCGCATCGAAATAAATAGGAAATTATAGAATACTTAGATATTAGTTTTACATATTGCACTCTTCCTTATGTCTACTCGCTAATTGTACTAATTTTGTCTACAGCATTTTCTTTTTATCGATTTACAGAACAGATAAAAAGGCGTGATAAAAGAAAATATATTTTTTAATAAAATATTGTCTATTACGTGCGATATATTCTCGAATAAAGAACTACATTAATTTATTCATTATTTCGTCAACGTTGAATAATAACGTTGAATAAATATGACAAGGTAGATAGTTATCGAACCATTCATCTACAACATGCACACATATATTAAATTCTTATAAAGTGAAAAACAAAATGAATTAATAGTGAATTTTCAACTTATGCTATATATAAACATATGATTTAGATCGTAAAATCTAGCAAGCGATAAAATTTGAACGAATTTGGATTAATTGAAACATACAATCACAAATCTGAGAGAAACAAATTGATTTGACATATTTGGTATATATTCCAATATCAAAAATAGATGACAGTTATATCCTCTATTTGATCGCGAAATTTCCTTATGGTCGAAGGTTCGTATAATTCATAAAGAATCTCTCCAGTGTTCGCGGCATATATAAAAAAATAAGGAAAATCAATATTTACATATCTTAAATTTAAAAGTTATTGTACATTTTGTAAATATCAAATACATGATTAAATAAAAAAAAAAGAATAAAAGTTATTGAAAAGAACATTCTTCGTAGACACAAGTTGTCTCACATATATTAGTTTTTGCGAAAATCATGATGCCAAAATAAAAAATCCAACTTAAATACACGTATATTTGTTTTATCCACTTGTCATCTTTGTTTATCATTAAGTTAACGTACAGATTGTATAACAAAGTGTTGATAAAAAGGGCCAATACAAATATGGATATAAAAATTTGTAACCCATAAGTCTCATTTATAATCCCGGCACATTTCATCAATTCCAAATAAATTTGTCTTGAATGAAAAAGATAAAAAATGGATAAAAATCGCAAAAGAGTAATAAAACATTTCAGACCAATTGGCAATATCTTACTTGATTCTTTTTAATTTTACAAGATTTTCATTTATTTTGTACGTTCGATAAACTGTAGATAACGCAGAATCATCTTCCCAATTGTCCTTCATTCGAAGAACTCTTTTATGTTGTGGAGAATCGATAGTTGTTGTCAGCATACTTTGAAGTACAGCATTTAATTCACCAAATTTACTTTTTATATATCTACTTATGGTCATTTGATATAGTTTAGTAATTGCTAAATTATTTTGTAATAAATTTAAACTTTGACTTGCCTGATCCAAAAGACAAATGTAAAGTCGGTAATCAGCATTACAATGATAGGACAAACGTCGACATAATATATCTGTAAAATCGAACTATAGTCTAAGCTTGATGATAATTTTATCTCAGAAAACCAAAACACTTAGGCCACACATAAATCTGTTATTATAGAAATTAAAAATACATCTGCAATTCATAGATATCGAAAAAATGAAGAGTAATTCTCGAATTGTTCAGTCGATACATTTCTCGTGTATAAGATTCTATTTGTTCTATGAACAATTTTATACTCTGTAAATATCAATCAATAAATCTAAATAATATAGTAATCAGTTATAGAAATTCTCATTAACTAATTGAAAAATTTCTACCTGTCTTATCGTAAAACAACTCAAAATTGTTATTATATAGATAAAAGGATTATTAAAAAATTGCAATAAGGTAATTATTGTTATCCTTGATTTTCCATAAATATATCAAACATATTCCTTAACGTAAAAAATAAAAAATTGTAGAAACAAAAACAACAAACGACACGACCGATGCAAATGATTGAAATAACGATAATCAATGGCATAACGGAAAGTTGAAGCTCCTTCGATCGAAACATTTTAAAATTTCCGTTAACTGTCTTTTTAAATATTCACACTTCTCATGTGAATTACAAAATAAAACATTGATCCGTGAACTTTATACATCTTAGCGTTTTTAATCCATCTTACATAATGACGCCGACCGGAAAAATACAGACAGTAAAGTGACATAGAATATAGGAAGTTAAATATTGGTCTTGAATGACCTCGTGGAAATCCGAAAAAACGTAATCCAAAGATATTGCTGAAAATATAGATTGGCCGTAAAACATCATCCATACTTTTCGATGGTACTTTGTAAATTTTGAAGATATTTCGAATTTCCATTTTTTTTATAATTTTCTCAATTAAAATTCTCATTTTTTCAATTTTGTTGTCTTCTTTATAATCGTCAACGATAGAAACAAATTTGTTTGGATAATGGATAAATTACTTTGAAAAGATCGAATTCTTTATCCATTTCGTATCCATTTTTTTCTCTTATTTTATAAAACACGAACGAAGGATATCTCCGTTGAGATGCCTTCGAAGGATATTATGTTAATGCGTATACGTATATATTTCTCGAGTATGACGCTGTAAAACTCATTAAGTCGATAACGTTGTCTATTTCATTGATATATCTCTTTATCTTGAATAATTCATAGCACTGTCTAAGACGGTGAACGCATAAAAGGTCAAGTATCATAAAAGATATATAATAGAGGATATATATAAGATATATATAATAGAGGAGGAAAACTTAATAACTTTTATTGCTATATTATTTATTATCTGCATTAATAATACGTATAAAAAATAAAATAAAATAACAAAATTGAATATGATAATAAAACGAGAGTAACAATACTGAGAACGAAACTTTTTATTTATAAAAAAAATTACGTTGAATGTGTTGATCAAAATCGCTACACCGGAACAATGATGAACGATTAAATTGCATTTATTGCTTTACTTTAATTTCTCCTGTAGGAAAGTTATTAATACGTCTGATCTTTCCTAATCGATCTGTTGAACCTTTATAAGATGTTAATGTGCAAATTAATTTTATTAAAACCGACTAAGATATTTATATAATAAGAAAGTTAATATTTTACCATCACTCTAATGTACGAAAAATAATCTAAAAATTTCGTAGGTATGTTGACAGCTACGATATGGTTTATTTTTATTTATTTACTATACTATTCGAATATATCTACTTTCGATTAACTGAATATGAACTAAAAGTTGTATATGTGACCATGTCCGAGTGAACATTTCCACCAACGAAATGATTTCAATTATATTAACTTATCAATTAAAAAAAATTATCAATATTATAGAAAAAACTGCCCAGAAGGTCCAGTATTATTACATATAATGTAATTTTAGCGAAAAATTTGTAAATGATTTCATTGTCTTCACAACTAAAGAATGATTTATCTTATGCTCGACCATAATTGTACATATCGTAAAACTTATTTCTTTAGTTGTCTCATTGGAAAGGCAATAAAAAAAAATCGCTGTGATAATGGTAGTGAAGAAGAATTGAGCATCAATTTCCATATTGCATTCAAACATTTAAGTACTTGTGCTAGATAAAAAATACATAATTTAGAAAAGTACCATAAACGGATAACTATAAATATTTAATGCTATAAAGATTACTAATATATTTCAACCCTTAATATAGTTTTAAATGCATCTATATTTAAGAATGATCGTAAATTTCTCAATCATTATTAGGCGATAAAGTTGAATTATTATTTAAATCTTGTTGTGATAGGTTACCAATTTGAATCAAAATAACGATGTAAGTTGCGACGGTACCGATCACCTAAAAATAATAAACATTAGCTGTCTATAATTTTAATATAAATCTAAAAATTGGTGGCAGAAATTGTGCTTTGAACGTACGTTACGTATCAATGTATAATTGAGATCAAAAATGCCACAGCTTGTAAGGATCAATGGGTTTTGAATAAATTGCAAAGTAAAATCACGAATCTAGAAGTATAATAAAATATTGATATTAACTTCCCGAACTTTTCCAATTATCAATTATTACCTTCATACGTATTTCGTTACTGGTTGATGGTTCGTATAATTCACAAAGAATATCTCCGGTTTTCGTCGCATGTAAAAAAATATGATATAACGTCAATACATATTTCGTTCAGACTTTGGTTAAAATTTTATGGAAAAAAATTTCTTATTATAACAAAAAATATAAAGAATACTCATAAGAAAAATACCTCAGTGATTGTTCGTGAACATATATGACTTACTAAAATGATCTTCATGGCAAAGAAAAAAATCCAATAAAGATAGGAATAACTTTGTTCGATTTGTAGTATATCGTTCGTAGATAATAAGAAATAGAACACATTGTAAGACATAATAGTGATTAATATTAAAGCTGTTGATATAGAGAATAAAATATGTAAGCCATAACAATCGTTTATATTCCTTGCACACTTTATTATTTCCAGATGTATCTCCCTTCGATATGAAATGCAATACAGAAAAAATTAAAACAGCTGTTTGATATATATATAATATTAAATTATCAAAAATTAATATTAATAATTACAAATATTATAGTTGCACCATATAATAATTACCTTGCCTTTTTTATCCTCTTAACATCTTCCTTCGATTTATACTTTTCACGAATATCGTCCAAAACAGGTTCGTTCTTCCTGATATTCCCCCTTAGAAGGACTCTTTTATGTTGCGGCGAATCAATAGTAGTCGTTAACATGCTTTTTAGTAGTTTATTCAATTGACTAAGTTCCAACTTAATAAAACTATATATAATTTAAAACTCGTTAAAAATAGTATATCTAATAATTTTGCGATGCACAAAACAATTTACTTGCCTCATCCAGAATATAAAAGTAAAATCGTTGAATATCAATATGATAAGTGGAAAACGATATAGATAAATCATGATAAAAGTTTTCCAATAGTCCATCCCATATGATAGTAACTTTCGAGCATCCTTAATAATTATATATAATAACATGAAAACAGAAAATGACATTAAATAACACTTCTGCCCAAAAAATTTAGACAAATTCATCGGAATATTTAGTTGTTCCATGGTTCGAATACATGTTTCTATTTGCAATATGAAATGCTTTGTCTTCTGCAAAAGATAACAAAAGATGTTGTAAAATAAAAATATTAATAAATTGAATAAATTTCAATAAAGCAAAACTTCACCTTTCTTCTGAAAACACCAGCGATAATGAGGAAGATATAAACCACATAGCTGCTATATACGTATAACCGATGCGATATTTCTATTAGGATTGGTTGTGTATTGTTATAAATAAATATGTTAAAAGAATATAGATACAACATCCAAACGTAAAAAATGATAGACATGCAAGCATAAACTATACCAAACATGTTAATATTAAAATCGATGAAATATTCTGCTAGACCAGTGCAAAAAATCGAATTCATTATTATCAACGGTTTAATACCACGATGAAACACCGCCAGTGAAGACATTTCCAAAATATTTGTCAAGGACTTAACTTGATCTATATTTTTTATTCTTCTCGAAAAAAAAAACTAATTATTTCAGTCACACGGATTGGAAAACTTTATACACAAAGTTCTTTTAGACCAAGAGAATGCAAGACATTCTTTGGTGAATTTTAATATGACACTTATGACACCTCATAACGCTTTGCTCGCATTATATCTTATTACATTCTTAGTTGATATTTTCCTGACCTATGTTCGCATTCGATGGAGTGGGAATTCTCCTTCCTTATGTAATCATTCAATTAAATGCACTTGCATATATTACCTTCTTATCGCATCAGAATAAATAGGAAATTATAAAATATTTAGATATTAGTTTTACATATTGCACTCTTCTTTATGTCTACTCGCTAATTGTGCTAAGTTTGTCTACAGCATTGTCTTTTTATCAATTTACGGAACAGATGAATAGGCGTAATATAAAAGAAAATATAATTTTTAAAAAAACATTGTCTATTACGTGCGATATATATATATATATATATATATATATATATATATATACAACATGCACATAAATATTAAATTCTTATAAAGTGAAAAACAAAATGAATTAAAAGTGAATTTTCAACTTATGCTACATATAAACATATAATTTAGTTCGTAAAATTTAGCAAGCGATAAAATTTGAACGAATTTGGATTAATTGAAACATAAAATCACAAATCTGAGAGAAACAAATTGATTTAACATATTTGGTATATATTCCAATATCAAAAATAGATGACAGTTATATCCTCTATTTGGTCGCGAAATTTCCTTATGGTCGAAGGTTCATATAATTCATAAAGAATCTCTCCAGTGTTCGCGGCATATATAAAAAAATAAGGAAAATCAATATTTACATATCTTAAATTTAAAAGTTATTGTACATTTTATAAATATCAAATACATGATTAAATAAAAAAAAAGAATAAAAGTTATTGAAAAGAACATTCTTCGTAGACGCAAGTTGTCTCACATATATTAGTTTTTGCGAAGATCATGATGCCAAAATAAAAAATCCAACTTAAATACATGTATATTTGTTTTATACACTTGTCATCTTTGTTTATTATTAAGTTAACGTACAGATTGTATAACAAAGTGTTGATAAAAAGGGCCGATATAAATATGGATATAAAAATTTGTAACCCATAAGTCTCATTTATGATCCCGGCACATTTCATCAATTCCAAAGTAATTTGTCTTGAATGAAAAAGATAAAAAATGGATAAAAATCGCAGAAGAATAATAAAACGTTTCAGAACAATTATCAATATCTTACTTGAATTGAATTAACGATAATCAATGGAATGAAGGAAAGTTGAAGCTTCTTTGATCGAAATATTTTAAAATTTCCTTTAACTGTCTTTTTAAATATTCATCTCATGATATAATTTTATGGATTCTGTTCTTATTTTCATGCGATTCCTTGCTGAAATTTTCGAGCGATACTAATTCCTATTAGCAATTTCTGTTCTTATTATACTTGAGTATTTTCATAGTAGATGCCATTATGACTTGCACTTAAAACTACCACTTTCCTATTCATCTTATCTCTTCCGCCATCTTGAATATTTTCTCTGTCCTTACCTTTGATGGAATGCATTCATCGATATACATACGCAGTACCTCGCTATCAAATGAAAATGAATAAAAAATTAAGTGAAGCTCTATATTGATATTAATTGTTATCACTATAAAACTAGCTAATGAATTATATCATTTATTTTCCTTTACATTTTATTACATATAAATAATTAGTTGTAATTTCTTATAATAATTTCGTGTATAAATTCGTGTATTTTGTAAATTTGACAGAACGATAGATCGGTGTAGTGATTTATGATTCTTTTATTTCATCGGTTACTTGTATGATGATAACTATGTAAGTTGTTATAATTCCGATACACTGAAGATTAAAAGAAATCATTAGACATTTTATTATTCTTTTTCCTTTTACAACGCAGCTATCGTAAAAATTGTACTAACCGAACAAATGTGTTTGCAATTAAGATTATATAAACCAAATGCGGAATATACATTACGACATTGCATCATTTGCAAAGAAAATATTTCTACCTGTAAAAAAAACAATAATTAACTTACATAAATTTTAAAATATTTCCGAGAAATATTAACCTCTTTTTGTATCTCGATGTCCGTACTATTACCATAAAATGTGTGAATAATTTCATTAGTGTGTTCAGCCTAGAAAAATCATGAAATAGTTATATAGAATTGAATATCGAATCACTGTTCTCTCATACCTCTTCCGTTGTTTTGTCACACACGTAATTAAGGATAAAGATCTTCGTCCCATATTGCAAACAACACCAAATCGTTAAAATGAATTGAAAAATCACTTTGTGAATATTATACGTTACTTTCTTGTACTCCACATAAAAGTAATATAACATGTGCGTATTTAGAAAAATACATATTGCAATTTGTAGGGATATCTGTATACCATACATATTACTAAGAATTTTGGATATTTTGTATAATTCCAGATGAATTTGCCTGTGAATATTAAACTTTCACGTATATTATAAATAATACTTTATACTTTCGACTCACCTGATAGTTCGTAATAACGTTCTACTTCTATTTATTTTATGACTTGCAATTTGCAATTGTGACTGCGTTTGTATTAATGACGGTGCAACGATAAATAATTTTCTCGAATCTACAGGAAGAGTTCGTTCTATAGAAAAAGAACAATCATTTTCTTTATGTTCAATTAATTCAGAAGCAATAGAAGAAATAGGTAGCACACTGACATCGCCAAGAAGTTCGTTCGCTCGTTGAAATTCCGATTTGATGCATCTAGATATTTCAAATATAATATTCCAATTTCTAATAATAATAATGAATTGAGACTTAAAATCATTACCTACCTTATAATGGTAAGGAATTCGAAGACCAGTATAAATTCGACCATGAAAGAATATATATATACGAAGATGAAAATTACTATGGACAGGTTATAATTCGTTTGATGTGATAAAGCCATACCGAGGATAATTATAATTAAAGAAACAAACAAATAAATAATAGTGAATCCTATTTCCTTAATCGTTCTTTTGTAAATGCAATCGAATAATGCAGATGAGTCTAATGCTTGAAGAGTTTTGTCGACCTCATTTATCCGTTTTGTACATAATTTCATCGCCTATTTATCGTTCGATTCACGAAAATTTTACTGATGAATATTATGGAGTAAAATCATTAATATTAATATATCATAAATATTTCTTGGACTCACCTCGTTCTGATGTAATCGCATCATAAGTATCACAAATATCACCATTTGATTAACAATAATTACAACATAAAATATAATTCCGTCTAATTTAAAGATTTTAGTTTTGTTATTCCATCCTACATAATAAAGCCGCCCAAAAAAATACAAACAGCAAAGGAACATAGAATAAAGGAAACTAAGTATTGGTCTTGAATGCCCTCGGGGAAATCCAAAAACACGCAATCCGAAGATATTGCTTAGAATATAGATTGGCCATAAAACATCATCCATACTTTTCAATGGTGCTTTATAAATTTTGAAGATACTTCGAATTTTCATTTTTTTTATAATTCTCTCAATTAAATTTCTCATTTTTTCAACTTTGTTGTCTTCTTTATAATCGTCAACGATAGAAACAAATTTGTTTGGATAATGGATAAATTACTTTGAAAAAATCGAATTCTTTATCCTTTTCGTATCTGTTTTTTTTTCTTATTTTATAAAACACGAACGAAGGATATCTCCGATGAGATGCCTTCGAAGGATATTATGTCAATGCGTATACGTATGTATTTCTCGAGTGTGACACTGTAAAACTCATTAAGTCGATAACGTTGTCTATTTCATTGATATATCTCTTTATCTTGAATAATTCATAGCACTGCCTAAGACGGTGAACGCATAAAAGATCAAATATCATAAAAGATATATAATAGAGGATATATATAAGATATATATAATAGAGGAGGAAAACTTAATAACTTTTATTGCTATATTATTTATTATCTGCATTAATAAAATGTATAAAAAATAAAATAAAATAACAAGATTGAATATGATAATAAAACGAGAGTAACAATACTGAGAACGGAACTTTCTATTTATAAAAAAAATTACGTTGAATGTGTTGATCAAAATCGCTACACCGGAACAATGATGAACGATTAAATTGCATTTATTACCTTACCTTAATTTCTCCTGTAGGAAAGTTATTAATACGTCTGATCTTTCCTAATCGATCTGTTCAACCTTTACAAGATGTTAATGTATAAATAAATAAAATTAATTTTATTAATACCATTTAAAATGTTTGTATTGTAAAAAATCTAATCATATAACATCACCCCAATGTATTAAAAATAATCTAAAAATTTCGTAGGTATGTTGACAGCTATGATATGGCTTATTTTTATTTATTTACTATACTATTCGAATATATCTACTTTCGATTAACTGAATATGAACTAAAAGTTGTATATGTGACCATGTCCGAGTGAACATTTCCACCAACGAAATGATTTCAATTATATTAACTTATCAATTAAAAAAAATTATCTATATTATAGAAATGCTGCCCAGAAGGTCTAGTATTATTACATATAATGTAATTTTAGCGAAAAATTTGTAAATGGTTTCATTGTCTTCACGACTAAAGAATGATTTATCTTATGCTCGACCATAATTGTACATATCGTAAAACTTATTTCTTTAGTTGTCTCATTGGAAAGGCAATAAAAAAAAATCGCTGTGATAATGGTAGTGAAAAAGAATTGAGCATCAATTTCCATATTGCATTCAAACATTTAAGTACTCGTGCTAGATAAAAAATACATAATTTAGAAAAGTACCATAAACGGATAACTGTAAATATTTAATGCTATAGAAATTACTAATATATTTCAACTCTTAATATAGTTCTAAACGCATCTGTACCTAAGAGTAATCAAATTTCTCAATCATTATTAAACGATAAAGTTGAATTTTTATATAATTCTTGTTGTGATACGTTTCCAATTTGAATGAGAATAACGATGTAAGTTGCGACGGTACCGATTACCTAAAAATAATAAACATTAGCTGTCTATAATTTTAATATAAATCTAAAAATTAGTGGCAGAAATTGTGCTTTGAACGTACTTTATGTATCAATGTATAATCGAGATCAAAAGTGCCACAGCTTGTAAGGGTCAGATGGTTTTGTATAAGCTGTAGAGTAAAACCACTTATCTGAAAGTATAATAAAGTATTGATAGACATTGATTTAAATAAATTGCATTTATCAATTATTACCTCGGCACGAAATTCGTTACTGGTTGATGGTTCATACAATTCGTAAAAAATATCCCCATAAAAAATATTCATGACATATATATAAAATAAGAAAAATCATTATTTTCATATCTTAAACTTAAAAATAATTGTACATTTTGTAAATATCAAATATATGGTTAAATAAAAGAAAGAATAAAAATTCTTGTAAAGAAAAAAACTTCTGTAATCGTTGCCTTACATACATTAGGCTTTGTGAAAAAATTATTCATTAAGTGAAACACTATATTGATATTAACTGTCATCACTATAAAAGTAGCTAAGAAATTATATTATTTATTACATATATGTTACATATATTACATATATGTAGTTAGCTGTAATTTTTATAATAACATTCGTTTAGTTCGTAAATTTGACAGAACAAAAGACGACTGCACGTCAGAAACGGGAGATTTATGATCCTTTTTTTACTACATCGCTTACTTGTATCATTATAACCAAGTATGTTGTTATAATTCCGATACACTGAAGAATAAAAAAAATCATTAGACATTCTATTATTCTTTTTCTTTTTACAATCCAATTATCGTAAATAAATGTACCAACCGAACAAATGTGTTTGCAATTAAGATTATATAAACCAAATGCGGAATATACATTACGACATTGCATCATTTGCAAAGAAAATATTTCTACCTGTAAACAAAACAATATTAATCTACATAAATACCAAAATATTTCCCATAATTAACCTCTTTTTGTATCTCGATGTCCGTACTGTTACCATAAAATGTGTGAATAATTTCACTAGTGTGTTCAGCCTAGAAAAATCATGAAATAGTCATATAAAATTGAATAACGAATAATTATTCTCTCATACCTCTTTCGTTGTTTTGTCACACATGTAATTAACGATAAAGATCTTCATCCCATATTGTAAACAACAAAAAATCGGTATAATGAATTGAAAAATCACATTGTTAACATAATACGTTTCTTTCACGTACTCCACATAAAGAAAGTATAATAAGTATATATTTAGAAAAATACACATTGCAATTTCTAGGGATATCTGTATACCGTACATATTACTAACATTTTTGGATACTTTGTATAATTCCAGATGAATCTGTCTATGAATATCATACTTTTAAGTATATTATAAATAATACTTTATTATTTCGACTCACCTGATAGTTCGTAACAACGTTCTACTTCTATTTATTTTGTGACTTGCAATTTGCAATTGTGACTGCGTTTGTCTTAATGACGGTGCAACGATAAATAATTTCCTCGAATCTACAGGAAGAGTTCGTTCTATAGAAAAAAAACAATCATTTTCTTTATGTTTAATTAATTCAGAAGCAATAGAAGAAATAGGTAGCACACTGACATCGCCAAGAAGTTCGTTCGCTCGTTGAAATTCCGATTTGATGCATCTAGATATTTCAAATAGAATATTCCAATTTATAACAATAATAATGAATTGAGACTTAAAATCATTACCTACCTTATAATGGTAAGGAATTCGAAGATCAGTAAAAATTCGACCATGAAAGCATATATATGTATGAAGAAGTAAACTATTATGGTCGATTTATAATTCATTTGATCTGTTAAGACCATATCAAAGATAGTTACTATTAGAAATAAAAACAAATAAATAATAGTGAATACTATTTCCTTAATCGTTCTTTTGTAAATGCAATTGAATAATGCAGATGAGTCTAATGCTTGAAGAGTTTTGTCGACCTCATTTATCCGTTTTATACATAATTTCATCGCCTATTTATCGTTCGATTCACGAAAATTTTACTGATGAATATTATGGAGTAAAATCATTAATATTAATATATCATAAATATTTCTTGGACTCACCTCGTTCTGATGTAATCGCATCATAAGTATCACAAATATCACCATTTGATTAACAATAATTACAACATAAAATATAATTCCATCTAATTTAAAGATTTTAGTTTTGTTAATCCATCCTACATAATAAAACCGACCGACAAAATACAAACAGCAAAGGAACATAGAATAAAGGAAACTAAGTATTGGTCTTGAATGCCCTCGGGGAAATCCAAAAACACGCAATCCGAAGATATTGCTTAGAATATAGATTGGCCATAAAATATCATCCATACTTTTCAATGGTGCTTTATAAATTTTGAAGATACTTCGAATTTTCATTTTTTTTATAATTCTCTCTATTAAATTTCTCATTTTTTCAACTTTGTTGTCTTCTTTATAATCGTCAACGATAGAAACAAATTTGTTTGGATAATGGATAAATTACTTTGAAAAGATCGAATTCTTTATCCTTTTCGTATCCGTTTTTTCTCTTATTTTATAAAACACGAACGAAGGATATCTCCGATGAGATGCCTTCGAAGGATATTATGTTAATGCGTATACGTATGTATTTCTCGAGTGTGACGCTGTAAAACTCATTAAGTCGATAACGTTGTCTATTTCATTGATATATCTCTTTATCTTGAATAATTCATAACACTGCCTAAGACAGTGAACGTGTAAAAGGTCAAGTATCATAAACTAACTGAGGAAAACTTAATAACTTTTATTGCTATATTATTTTTTATCTGTATTAATAATACGTATAAAAAATAAAATAAAATAACAAAATTGAATATAATAATAAAACGAAGGTAACAATACTGAGAACGAAACTTTTTATTTGTAAAAAAAATTACGTTGAACGTGTTGATCAAAATCGTCACAACGAGACATTGATGAACGATTAAATTGCATTTATTGCCTTACTTTTAGTTCTCCTGTATGAAAATTATTAATACGTCTGGTCTTTCCTAATCGATCTGTTCAATCTTTACAAGATGTTAATCTGTAAAATAATTTTATTAACACCAATATATAACATCACTCCAATGTATTAAAAATAATACAAAAATTTCGTAGATATGTTGACAGCTACGTTATCGCTAATTTTTATTTATTTACCATACTATTCGAATATATCTACTTTCGATTAATTGAATATGAACTAAAAGTTGTATATGTGACCATGTCCGAGTGAACATTTCCACCAACGAAATGATTTCAATTATATTAACTTATCAATTAAAAAAAATCATCAATATTATAGAAAAGCTGCCCAGAAGGTCCAATATTATTACATATAATGTAATTTTAGCGAAAGAATTATAAATGATTTCATTATCTTCACCGACTATAAAATGATTTATCTGATGCTCGACCATAATTGTACATATCGTAAAAATTATTTCTTTAGTTGTCTCATTGGAAAGGCAATAAAAAAAAATCGTTGTGATAATGGTAGTGAAAAAGAATTGAGTATCAATTTCCATATTGTATTCACACATTTAAATACCTGTGCTAGATAAAAAGTACGTCATTTATTCTCCTTCTTTATGTAATCATTCAATTAAATCCACTTGCACATATTATCTTCTTATCGCATAAGAAAAAATAGGAAATTATGGAATACTTAGATATTAGTTTTACATATTGCACTTTTCTTTATGTTTACTCGCTAATTGTGCTAATTTTTTGTCTACAGCATTTTCTTTTTATCCGTTTACAAAATAGGTGAAAAGCCGTAATATAAAAGAAAATATATTTTTTAAAAAAACATTGTCCATTACGTGCGATATATTCTCGAATAAAAAACCACATTAATTCATTCATTATTTCGTCAACGTTGAATTATAAGTCGTATTATTATAGAATACTTTAGGTTCACCTCCAACTTGAATAAATATGACAAGGTAGGTAGTAATCGAACCAATCATCTACAACATAAACAGATATATTAAATTCTTATAAAGTGAAAAACGAAATGAATCGAAAGTGTATTTTCAACTTACGCCGTATATAAATGTATGATTTAAATCGTAAAATCCGCAAGCGGTGAAATTTAAATGATTGTGGATTAATTGAAACATAAAATCACGAATCTGAAAGAAACAGATAGAATTTATATATTTGGTATATATTCTAATATAAAAAATAGATGACAATTGTATCCTCTACTTGATCGCGAAATTTCCTTGTGGTCGAAGGTTCGTACAATTCATAAAGAATCTCTCCAGTGTTCGCGGCATATATAAAAAATAAGGAAAATCAATATTTACATATCTTAAATTTAAAAATTATTGTACATTTTGTAAATATCAAGTACATGATTAAATAAAAAAAAAAAAAAAAAATAGAAATTGTTGAAAAAAACATACTTCTGTAATCGTTGTCTCACATATATTAGTTTTCGCGAAAATCATGATGCTAAAACAAAAAATCCAAAACAAATGCACATATAACTGATTTATCCAACTGTCATAATTGTTTGTCATTAAGATAACGTATAGATGGTATAACACAGTCGTTATAAATACGGCGGATGAAAATGTGGATACAAAAATTTGTAATCCATAAGCCTCATTTATGATTCTGGCACATTTCATCAATTCCAAATAAATTTGTCTTGAATGAAAAAAATAAAAAATGGATAAAAATCGCAAAAGAATAATAAAACGTTTCAGACCAATTGGCAATATCTTACTTGATTCTTTTTAATTTTACAAGGTTTTCATTCATTTTGTACGTTCGATAAACAGTAGATAACGAAGAATCATCTTCCCAATTGTCCTTCATTCGAAGAACTCTCTTATGTTGTGGAGAATCGATAGTTGTTGTCAGCATACTTTGAAGTACAGCATTTAATTCACCAAATTTATTCTTTATATATCTGCTTATGGTCATTTGATATAGTTTAGTAATAGCTAAATTATTTTGTAATAAATTTAAACCTTGACTTGCCTGATCCAAAAGACAAATGTAAAGTCGGTAATCAGCATTACAATGATAGGACAAACGTCGACATAATATATCTGTAAAATCGAACTATAGTCTAAGCTTGATAATAATTTTATCTCAGAAAACCAAAATACTTCGGCCACACATAAACCTAGTATAATAAAAATTAACAATACATCTGCGATACATAAATATCGAAAAAGTGAAGAGTAATTTTCCGAAATGTTCAGTTCATCCATTCCTCGTGTACAGGATTCTATTTGTTCTATGAACAATTTTATACTCTGTAAATATCAATTAATCAATCTAAATAATATAGTAAACACTTAAAAAAATTCTCATTAACTAATCGAAAAATTTCTACCTGTCTTCTCGTAAAACCGTTTAAAATTGTTATGTTATAGATAAAAGGATTATAAAACAATTGCAATAAGGTAATTATTTTCATCAATTCTGTTCCGTGACATAACATAAAATTTCCAAGTATATTTCTCAACGTAAAAAATAAGAAATTATAGAAACAAAAACAACAAATGAGATAAGCAAAACCAATCGTACGAATTGTTCGATCAACGAAATATTCGAATAGACCGGTACAAACAATTGAATTAACGATTATCAATGGCATGACAGAACGTTCAAGCTCCTTCGATCGAAACATTTTAATATTTACGTTAATTGTCCGTTTAAATATTCACACTTTTCATCTCATGATATAATTTTATGTATTCTGTTCTTATTTTCATGTGACTCCTCGCTGGATTTTTCGAGCGATACTAATTCCTATTAGCAATTTCTATTCTTATTATATATGAGTATTTTCATAATAGATGCCATTATGACTTGCATTTAAAACTACCACTTTCCTATTCATCTTATCTCTTCCATCACCTTGAATATTTTCTCTGTCCTTGCCTTTGATGGAAAGCATTCATCGATATACGTTCGCGTTATATTCACTTTATCAAGTGAAAATCAATAAAAAATTATTTATTAAGTAAAACGCATTATTGATATTAACTGTCATCACTATAAAACTAGCTAATGAATTAAATTATTAATCCTCCTTTATCATTTCATTACATATAAGTAATTAGTTGTCATTTCTTATAATAACATTCGTGTAGTTTGTAAATTTAACAGAACGATAGATCACTGTAGTGATTTATGATCCTTCTTTTATTTCATCGGTTACTTGTATCATTATAATCAAGTATGTCGTTATAATTCCGATACACTGAAGAATAAAAAAAATCATTAGACATTCTATTATACTTTTTCTTTTTACAATCCAATTATCGTAAATAAATGTACCAACCGAACAAATGTGTTTGCAATTAAGATTATATAAACCAAATGCGGAATATACATTACGACATTGCATCATTTGCAAAGAAAATATTTCTACCTGTAAACAAAACAATATTAATCTACATAAATACCAAAATATTTCCCATAATTATTAACCTCTTTTTGTATCTCGATGTCCGTACTGTTACCATAAAATGTGTGAATAATTTCACTAGTGTGTTCAGCCTAGAAAAATCATGAAATAGTCATATAAAATTGAATAACGAATCATTATTCTCTCATACCTCTTTCGTTGTTTTGTCACACATGTAATTGACGATAAAGATCTTTATCCCATGTTGGAAACAATACCAAACCATTAACATAAATTGAAAAGTCACTTTGTGAATATTATACATTTCTTTCTTGTACTCCACATAAAAGTAGTATAACATGTACGTACTTAGAAAAACACATATCCCAATTTCTAGGGATATCTGTATACCGTACATATTACTAAGATTTTTGGATACTTTGTATAATTCCAGATGAATCTGTCTGTAAAAATCGTACTTTTAAGTAAATTATAAATAATACTTTATTCTTTCGACTCACCTGATAGTTCGTAACAATGTTCTACTTCTATTTATTTTATGACTTGCAATTTGCAATTGTGACTGCGTTTGTCTTAATGACGGTGCAACGATAAATAATTTTCTCGAATCTACAGGAAGAGTTCGTTCTATAGAAAAAGAACAATCATTTTCTTTATGTTCAATTAATTCAGAAGCAATAGAAGAAATAGGTAGCACACTGACATCGCCAAGAAGTTCGTTCGCTCGTTGAAATTCCGATTTGATGCATCTAGATATTTCAAATATAATATTCCAATTTATAACAATAATAATGAATAAAACTTAAAATCATTACGTACCTTACAAAGGTAAGGAATTCGAAGACCAGTAAAAATTGGACCATGAAAGAGTATATATGTAAGAGTAAGTAAACTATTGCGTCCGATTTATAATTAAATTGATCTATTATAACCATACCGAAGATAATTATTAATAAGGAGAAAGATAAATAAATAATAGTGAATACTATTTCCTTAATCGTTCTTTTGTAAATGCAATTGAATAATGCAGATGAGTCTAATGCTTGAAGAGTTTTGTCGACCTCATTTATTCGTTTTGTACATAATTTCATCGCCTATTTATCGTTCGATTCACGAAAATTTTACTGATGAATATTATGGAGTAAAATCATTAATATTAATATATAATAAAGATTTCTTGGACTCACCTCGTTCTGATATAACCGCAGTATAAGTACCACATATACCACAATTTGGTTAATAATAATTACAACATAAAATATAGTTTCGTCTAATTTATACATATTAGTTTTGTTAATCCAGCCTACATAATAAAACCGACCGGCAGAATACAGACAGCAAAGTGAAATAGAATAAAGGAAACTAAGTACTGGTCTTGAATGACCTCGTGGAAATTGGAAAACACCCAATCCAAAGATATTGCCCAGAATATAGATTGGCCGTAAAACATCATCCATACTTCTCGATGGTGCTTTGTAATTTTTGAAGATACTTCGAATTTTCATTTTTTTTATAATTCTCTCAATTAAATTTCTCATTTTTTCAACTTTGTTGTCTTCTTTATAATCGTCAACGATAGAAACAAGTTTGTTTGGATAATGGATAAATTACTTTGAAAAGATCGAATTCTTTATCCTTTTCATATCTCTTTTTTTCTCTTATTTTATAAAACACGAACGAAGGATATCTCCGATGAGATGCCTTCGAAGGATATTATGTTAATGCGTATACGTATGTATTTCTCGAGTATGACGCTGTAAAACTCATTAAGTCGATAACGTTGTCTATTTCATTGATATATCTCTTTATCTTGAATAATTCATAACACTGCCTAAGACAGTGAACGTGTAAAAGGTCAAGTATCATAAACTAACTGAGGAAAACTTAATAACTTTTATTGCTATATTATATATTATCTGCATTAATAATTTGTATAAAATAAAAATAAAATAATAAGATTGAACATGATAATATGACAATAGTAACAATGATAATGAATCTCTGTAGATATACAAAAAAATTACATTATGCATCTTTACCAAGATTATTGCAATAGTAATAGTAATTACTAGAAAAGTAAGAATAAGATTTTTGTATAGTAAGAAATTTAATATATTAACATCACTCTAATATATTGAAAATGATCCAAAAATTTTGTATCTATGTTGACAGCTATGATATCGCTTATTTTTATTTATTTATTTATTATGCTTATTTTTAAATAGTACTGTACTATTCAAGTATATATACTTTTGATTAATTGAATATGAAACAAATTTGTATATGTGGACTGACGATATCCGAGTGAACATTTCCACCTACGAAATGATTTCAATTGTGTTAACTTATCAATTAAAAACAAAAATTATCAATATTAGAGAGAAAAACTACTGAGAAGATCCATTTGTATAACATATTTCGTAATTCTAACGAAAAAATTGTAAATGATTTCATTGTCTTCGGCGACAAAAAAATCATTTATCTTATACTCCACCATAATTATACACATCGAATAATTTATTTCTTTAGTTATCTCATTGGAAAGGCAATAAAAAAAATCACTATGATAATGATAGTGAAGAAAAATTGGGCACCAATTCGTATATATAAATTTCCTTATTGCATTCACACATTTAAGTACCTGTGCTAGATAAAAAGTACACAATTTGGAAAAGTACCATAAACGGATAACTATAAATATTTAATGCTATAAAGATTACTAATATATTTCAACCCTTAATATAGTTTTAAATGCATCTATATTTAAGAATGATCGTAAATTTCTCAATCATTATTAGGCGATAAAGTTGAATTATTATTTAAATCTTGTTGTGATAGGTTACCAATTTGAATCAAAATAACGATGTAAGTTGCGACGGTACCGATCACCTAAAAATAATAAACATTACCTGTCTAAAATTTTAATATAAATCTAAAAATTGGTGGCAGAAATTGTGCTTTGAACGTACGTTACGTATCAATGTATAATCGAGATCAAAAATGCCACAGCTTGTAAGGATCAATGGGTTTTGAATAAATTGCAAAGTAAAATCACGAATCTAGAAGTATAATAAAATATTGACATTAACTTCTTGAACTTTTCCAATTATCAATTATTACCTTCATACGTATTTCGTTACTGATTGATGGTTCGTATAATTCGCAAAGAATATCTCCGGTTTTCGTCGCATGTAAAAAAATATGATATAACGTCAATACATATTACGTTCAGTCTTTGGTTGAAATTTCATAAAAAAAATTCATTATTATAACAAAAATAGAATGAATACTCATAAGGAACATACCTCAGTGACAGTTCGTGCACATACATGACTTATTATCACGATCTTGATCGCAAAGTGAAATACCCAATATAAAAAAGAATAATTTTGTAACATTTGTTGAAGACCGTTTGTAGTTTTTAAGAGATCGAATATATTGTAAGACATAATAGTGATTAATATTAAAGCTGTTGATATAGAGAATAAAATATGTAAGCCATAACAATCGTTTATATTCCTTGCACACTTGATTATTTCCAGATGTATCTCCCTTCGATATGAAATGCAATACAGAAAAAATTAAAACAGCTGTTTAATATATATATAATATTAAATTATCAAAAATTAATGTTAATAATTACAAATATTATGGTTGCATCATATAATAATTACCTTGCCTTTTTTATCCTCCTAACGTCTTCCTTCGATTTATACTTTTCACGAATACCATCCAAAACAGGTTCGTTCTTCCTGATATTCCCCCTTAGAAGGACTCTTTTATGTTGCGGCGAATCAATAGTAGTCGTTAACATGTTTTTTAGTAGTTTATTCAATTGACTAAGTTCCAACTTAATAAAACTACATATAATTTAAAACTCGTTAAAGATAATATATCTAATAATTTTGCAAAACATAAAACAATTTACTTGCCTCATCCAGAATATAAAAGTAAAATCGACGAATGTTAATACGATACAGGGATAACGGTATAGATACAAGATGACAAAAGTTTTCCAGTAATTTATCCCGAATGGTAATAATGATCGAATATCCTTAATAATTATATATAATAATATGAAAACAAGAAATAACATTATGTAACACTGTTGCTTAAAAAACTTAGACAAATTCATCGGAATATTTAATTGTTCCATGGTTCGAATACATGTTTCTATTTGCAACGTGAAATGCTTTATCTTCTGCAAAAGATGACGAAGGATGTTGTAAAAGAAAAATACTAATAAATTGCAAGAACGCAATTCTTTACCTTTCTTCTGAGAATACCAGCGATAATGAGAACGATATAAGACACGTAGCTATTATATACGTATAAACGATGCATTATTTGAATAAAGAATGGTTGTTTGTTGTCAAAAGTAATTGAAGTAGACGAGTATAAATAGACAATTGATACGTAAAAAATTATAGAGACGCAAGCATAAACTGTACCTATCATATTAATATTAAAATCGATGAAATATTCTACTAGACCAGTGGAAAAAATCGAATTCATTATTATCAACG